CTTCAGCAAACCAAAGGCTAATTTTGTCATCTTATCCGTCATCTTTTTCTTTACCATGAATATCATTCTTCTGTAGGTATATCATCCCAATATTGACTCATTTAAAGATAAATCGATTTCCTTACAATCTCTAAATCTCACTTCAGTTTAGAAAATGTAGCTGCCCCTAACACGAATTGTTTTTACGCTGTAAAAATGGATTTTATATTTGTAGAACCTGAAGAGAATCTATTGGAAAGAATGTTCTCCGTTCAGATTGTTGCTTTTTATGAATATAGATTTTACCATGATGGATTTCAATTAAACAGAAAATAATTAGGTAAGACAAAGAAAATAAAGAAAATTGCTAGCAGTGGTAGTAGTAATATAGGTGTTATTAATAATAATTCCACTACTAATGGTAATAATGGTGACAGGGTTAAGAGAGAATTCAAAGTCTCAGCTATGTTACCATAAAAGGAAGGCACCTCAGAAGCATTAAGAAGAATTCTCAATAAGGCTGGTTGGCATTAAAGTGGCATTCAAACCAACAACCCACTTAGAAACAAGCTTTGTAGGTTAAAAGATCCTATACATGCAATTAAACAAAATAATCTGGTTAACCGAATCCCTTGCAATGATTGTGAGATAAAATACATAAGTCAAAGTAGTCGACCAGGGTTAATTAGGATAACAGAACACAAAAACATGACTAAATCAAGATTAGTAGATCCTAATACGATTAGAAATTTAGAGAAAAGCTCGGCTCTAACTCTGCACACAATCACACATTAGGGTGGGATGGAGCGACAGTGTTGAAAACTTAGTTGGATGAAGAGAGAGATTGATAACCGAGTCTCTGTTTATCGAATCAACAACAAACACATGCAATCGAAATGATGCTGCACTTGTACTAGATGTATGGAAAATTCTACTACCCTTGTCATCACAGAGAAGGAGAGAAAATTAGGACTACATAAACTCTGTCTCGAAGTTGTGGAGTTACCTGATATGAATATGGAAGCGTTATCCAGTAAATGATACTGTTCCTTCACTGTGTGATATTTCTAATAAACAGACTAAAATGGAATTACAATCCACCACAGTGCCCAAGTTTTACTCTTATATTAACGAGAAAACACTGATCATTTGTTTCACCCTTCTTCACAATGAACAGGTTGTAGGACAATATATGCTCAGCATGAAACCTAAAAAGTCATATGATCGTTTCTGTACGAAGCATAAAACAAATATCCCATATTACTCGACTATTATTAGGGTATAGTGAAAATTTGTTTAATTTCAATTACTCCTCAAAGAATAACCAAACATTATAGAAAACCAAATAATTTTTTTTTTAAAAAATATTCTCTTATACGATATAATACAATTTGACCTTAAAGAAAGCCAAGTCTAGGTAATGAAAAAAAATGTCTAAAAAATGATTGACTCATTAAATGATTAGACAATTAGAAAAACGATTACATAACCTGATTGAAAAAAAAATTGTCTAGAAAGAAATATTATAATTAAGCTATTCTAGCTGACTGTAAAAATAATAATTTATGTATTAACTTCCGGTGGCAACTTCATATGTTTATTTTTTGTGAGTTCATGAAAAAACTTCAGAAAAAATGCTGCTACCATTCAACAAGTCAAATAGTCTATTAAAGTAATGAAAAATAAAGTAGAAATAATGATAAATAAACTTCATTAGAAAAACAGTAATATAAACAATTAGAATGATGAACGAAGTTGACATAAAACCTTGATAAAAACTGAGAATCTAAACAACAATCTCGAAACCGCAATTAGTCGTTTTATTCTACAAACCTGGGTACAGATTTTTTCTGAATACAAGCTTTCTTCATAAAATATCCACGGTTTAATTAAACTTTAATGATAGCGAATCGTGTTCAAGTATACATTGACCAATCAGAATCAGCAATATGAAGGACAAAGTAGCTTTTAAGCAAAATAGTACTTTAGTATAATTCCTTGTATTATACCGTCGTTGGTTGGACCGAATTAATCGGTTATTATTATACCGTCGGTATAATACAAGCAATTATACTAAAAACCATACCCGTCGCACAAGAAGTGGCTATCATGGCTCAGTGGTATAGTTGATAACGCTCCGGTGTTTGAAGAGATTTGTCTCGAGTGCGAATCCCAGTGAGAACAATATCACTCACTGGGAGACAGGTACATCCAGCTGACGAGTCCCAAATAGGACGAAATGTGCATCCCACTGCTAGTCACTATCCATCATTGTTAAAATAGTGCTTTATTTATAATTTATTAACCTGTTTTACATGAGAAATAAAGATATACTGGGTGATGTTTAAAGGTGAAGTGAAAATTTGGATCATGGCGGGATTCCAACCAGCGACCACCAAACTTCCGGTCCGGTGGTCTACCAAACCACAGCTATCTCAGATAGTCAAAATGATAAAGATGTCTTGATTTAAAATGGGCTTATCATCTTTGAAACCATACCACTGTCTGCATTGCCACCAATCCATATGAGATAATATCATTTATATGATATTTAGGGAAATTCACGCTTGTGATCCAGTTAAAGGTCTTAATAACTTTCATAGACAACTCTACTTACTTTCAAAATTCTTTACGCGCACTTTAGTTGTTTGATCGATGAAGTGCTTTTTCCGAACAATAGCCTGATGAGGTTAACCTACTTCAAATAAAGGCAAATATGATTTACAAGCATCTGTGTATATTGTGATACTCACTCCCAAGTATTTTCGCAAAACTGCTAAGATGGATTTTTATGACCTATTCTTTATCCATTAAAAATACCCTTTCTTCGCATTTCAGTCGTATATACCAAGAATCTACGGTTTTCCAGGACAAATTTATGTATACTCAGTCTTGTTAGGTTATATTCAAGTTTCCGAACAAGATATTCATCTATTTCAACCACATTACATTCTCCAGCAAATTCCACATATAACCTGCAACGTAATTTTTGTTATAATACATAAAAGGTTTATGCAGTGCCAACAACAACACGGTAGATAGATGTAACGAATAGGTTGAACAAACCATCTCCAACCTTATTGGTTATCCTCAAGGTTTCTTATCACTAAAGTCTAACTGAACCATACTCATTCATCATGAGGATCAATAGTCAGTCATTGATATGTGATTATTGAAAGTTGTATGTAAAGTATATCATTCCAAAACCAGTCAAGTTATTTGTGTTTTCTGGTTCTGATTGACCCCAGTTCGATCTTTTCGATCTATGCACCAATAATGAAGTCAAGTGTCCTTAATTCAAAGTAGTCGTCTAGTGTTATTTAGAATAAAATACCACAAAACCTTGAACAAATCCATATTGATAGATTCTAGAAAGATAAGGAGTCTAGAGAAAATCTCAACCATTATAACCACACAATAGGTTAGGATAAAGTAATAGTTCCAAAAACTAAGTGAGTGGACTGAAGGGAGACATTAACAACTGAACCTTCATATATCGAATCAACAACACGCATTCCAGATATTTGAAAAACTCTGCTACCCAAATGACAAATGAAGGAAGAGAAAGCATTGTAAAAAAAGGATGTAAGTATCCATTTAACTTGGATGTGTTGTGTGCTCTAAGCTGGGTTGGTTAATGGTGAAGCTTTCATCATCTTTATAGACGACATCATCAGCACTAACTTCAGTATGAAGTGAGCTGTTAGTATCTCTCCATGAGTGATGGGTGTTTTAATAGCTCCCGCTGACAAAGTGGTCTGTGATTGTTCGCTTCCTTTGATTGTTGTTTCATTGGCTGACTGCATAGACTTTCCTGTTGGCTGTTATTCTGCTTAACCTCTGATCTTTCTGTCTCTTACCATTTTTCTCATTGGTTGATAGATTGGGTCTGTGTCTATACATCTATTGATTGCTGACTGATTGACCTGAATACCAAACTTCTACGAATTCTCTGATATTCGTTGTGTTTCCTCTCTCCGTCCAAAATTCCTATATTGTCAAAGTCAAATTCATCTCCATAGTTGTTATCCACATGCATTGAAATGAGTGATGAAACGTCATGTGTGACGTTTACTAGCGAATCGGTGTTCATGTAGACGAAGGTGAAGAGGGCGACTACTTTGTTCAATGTAGTGTTGACTACAGTTATTGCAGTTGGTTTTGTAAATGATGTTCGGTTTGTCTTCTTTGGTTGTTGCATCCTTTGGTCTGCATAACAGTGTTTGGAGGGGATTTGTTAGTTTATGAGCCACATCAATTCCAAGTGGTCTCAGTAATCTTGTCGTGGTGCCTATATTGATTTGTGTCGATGACTTTGTAGTTGAGCAATAAACTCTGTTCGAAATCCCATCCAGTAAATCACACTGTATCACTGTGTGCTATATCAAATAAGCAATCTAACATGAAATTATACTCTACCACAATGCTGAACTTGTATTCTTATATTAGCTGGCTTCGAGAAGTAATTCTTGAAGTTTCAATAAGAAGTCATGACCGGTGGAGCCAAGCAAGTCAAACATCAGGATAGTTACTTAACAACGCCAACGGATAATGATCGCGCTATATTGTGAACTGACAGATGTAGGAAATATGAATGGTTGGGTTCCGACCAAGTGGTTCAATTTTAACGTGTTAGCCACTGAATTTGAAAGTCCTAGGTTCGACCCCTGAAGGCGTCACGAGTGCCCACTGCCTAGGAGTCCCATACAGGGACGAAAAAACTTTCTAGTTCTCCATATGATGTCAGTTCGTGATGAATGCTACTTTAAAAACGAACTTTTTATTAACCTGGAAATACATATATATGACTTGACAACTACATAATAATACGTGGAAACGGAAAGTAACAAGGAGAAGACTATTAACTTTGCACATAATATAAACAAAAGGATATAAATCTGTTATTTATTCATAATAAATACCAAAGCCTATTGAAAACAGTTTAGTTTTTTTTTCTCATCTCTGTCTCTCTTCTTCTTCAGCCTGAGATAAAAACACAAGTAAATTAGATGATTATTTACCTTTGCTGTGGTCCACCATCAGCAACAATACCAAGTTCACTGATACGATGACGTAATTGAACTTTTAATTCATTGTGAACACGTAATAGAATTGACTAAAATGAATTTAAAGCAATAAAAGGAAATTGCTAAAAAATAAACAAAACTGAAATATAAACATTCATTATATATATATATATATATATATATATATATATATATATATATATATATATATACATATATACGCCAATTTATCACAAATTATTTTGAACAGAATGGAAATAATTGGTCAACAAATATTGCCTTATCTAACTCACATCCAACTTTTAATCAGATTGACTAGTATTGGGAAACAATATCAAAAATCTTATTCCCTCGATTGTATACATTCCCCCTTATTAATTGATTACCATTTATACTTACAGAATAAATTCAATAACAATTATTCCCTGGTAAATGTGAAGTAAATAAACGATTTTTTGCAAATGATAGTTGACTATATCGGTCATGAAGTCGTATGACAGTAGATATGAAGCAGAACAACAAACAAGATTAGCGTAGGACCTAGTAATAATATATAGAAAACGGTTTAAGTAACCATAATTTGCAACAGTACGGTGACAGAATGTAAATGAAATGAAGATTATCTGGGAGTTCGGAGGAGGGTGGAGGAGAGAAATTCAAAGCCTTGGAGTAATAGTCTTTATATCCTTCCCCATAAGAGTACGCTTGATTCGAATTCACACACAATCTAGACAATATGAAAATCAACACCATCCAATCGATAGTACTATTGCTTGTAGTATGTCGTCGTTGATTGGACAGAATTGATCGGTTTCTATTGGTATATCAGCCCTGAGTTCAAATCCCGGTGAGAATAACACTCACTAGGAGGCAGGTACATCCAGCTGAAGAGTCCCAAATAGGACGAAATGCGCATTGTGGATTTCACTGCCAACCACTATCCATCAACCAATATATAGATAGAGGTTGTTTGTCACCAACTTTACAATATACGTTCTGATGAATAAGCGTCGCTTTGCGTCTGATCTGTTTTCAACAAATCTCTTACCAAATGTCTTCACAATAAGTACGCTTAGCAAATAGGCTGAAAAAATGCTAAACCTTCTGAACGTCAGCAAAAATCATCGAGACTTTTGAATAATTTCCTCATCTATTATAAGCAGAATAGCGTTAAAAAAGGCGATCTAAACTCATAACTAGTTTACAGAAGGCGAACAAAATAATTTAAAATGCTGGTTACTTTACACATCTCAGCAGACTGATCGGTTCTGACGGTGACTGAAGAAACTTCATCACACAGCTAGTTTGACGCATGTCTTATTATGCCAAAGAAAAATTCGAATACCTAGTGAAATGACATAGTCTGCTTTACACCGGTATTCAGGGGTGAAACATAAATGACACCGATTCGCTTGTATTCCTGTATAGATTTGTTCTCATATTATCGGTGGGCAAAGTAACCAAGTTGAGAATATCGAGAATACGTGTGTCTTGAAAAAGCGGGGTAGGAACCTTCGATAATTTTTTTGGATTTAGGTGCCGAGAGTGATTTCGACATATACTAACATGCAAAACCATTAACTTCATTCTCCATGGTAATATTTCAAGTGTTTACCGAAGAAGAATTTAAAATGACAGACAAACGTAAAATCTCGTATAAAAGCGAATCGGTTCAAGTTGTCATACTTCATAGTGAAATACAAAGAAAAATAGGATAAAAAAAAGAGTAATGATATGGCACATCAAAGAGTATGGAATAAGAGGGACTTTAAAAAAAAAGATGATTAGTGAAAGTGTTCAAACATTTGAACCTGTCAAAGAGTGAATATATTTGCAACATCAGCAGTGGATCTCCAACCACTGATTGTTACTACCTTTAGCATCCCAACTAAATGGTCAACGCCTCCATAGACGAGTCAGACTAACAGTCAAAGACTTCATTGATAAGTATCATGTATTGATCTAGTCATCTTTAGCCTCCTTCTAACCTAATCCTACTTCAGCTAACATCATAGGTCAACCAAGATGGTGGTTAGGCATGCACAACATATATCCAAGCCATTTCAACCAGTAACAGTTCAAAACCTAAAGAAGTGTACATTCTCGTCTTATTACTTTGAATTCACAGATATGTAGGCTTCCTATTCAAGAGCATTAGGATGATGAAGAGCAATCCGATCAATATCTTGATTAAAGTCGATCAAAACTGATAACAAAAGTGAAGATGTTTGATACACTTGGAAGATAAGTTCATTTCAGATCTAGTTACTTAAGGGGAACAAATTCAATGTTTCATCTGTTCATTGTTTTTTTCATTATTCTCAAACACCATAGTTCATGAAGTGAAGGGAAAGGCAAGGTAAAGCATTTAACTTAACACGATGAAAGAAATTAATATTAAGATAATAAGCAGAAGGAAAAATACACAGTTTTATAATCAGAGTTGAATAAATACCTAAACTGCTTGGATCGACGCCAAAGTTCTTTCAGTGATCGGTAAACTAAGAGTTCTGTTGGAATCAAGTTCATCAACTTATTAAGGATAAGATAAGTACTGACTGAGTTCAAGTCTCCATGAGAACAATACCACTCACTGAAAGGCAGGTATATCCACTTAAGGAGTCCCATACAGAACGAAATGCGGGTCATGTGTTAGAGTCAAGTAGATTACAACATGAAGAATAATTAGGCAATACTGAGGCATCCATAGAGGAGCCCATATACCAACAGATGACAACCAATTCAACTCAGTATAACAGCAAGAGATCACAATTATCAAACAATACATAAAGATTTTTTAAAAATTCCTTTAGTTATGCCAAAACAGCACTAAACATGCGAAAATATGAAACTTAGAAGGCATAAGTCGCTGAGTAAAAACAGTAACTTTAAATCAAACAGTAATGTGTTATTCAGTTTGAAGGTTGACGAGGATTGACTTCTTAACTTTATGGTAGTATACACATCACGAACTGACATCAATTCATTGAATTGGTAACATACTTGCTCAATGTACGGTGGAATCGTGAGTGCGCACTGTCAACCAGATTCATACTAAGACCGGAACATTTGTTGTCTAATGCTCCCAAGTTTATAATCTTTCCCCTTAAGAAGAGTGTGTAAGTTCCTCAATTTAGTAACCTGATCGGGAACAACATCAATTCTGTGACTTTTATAAAATTTTATGTAAAAATATCTACTTAATATGTTGAAATCAAATAACTCGTAAAGATTATTTTTCAGCTTCAGCGTATAACAAAAAACTGATCTCAGCTCTACTAAGCATTAAATACACAGCATTCTATATTGATACTGTTATCCATAACATCTACGGCGCTATTACGTAATTAATGATGGAAACCAAAGATCGAGTGATAGATTTGATGTAGAATGAGTAAAAAAGAAAACAACAACAGAGAATGAAGTTGACCTGTCAAGAAAATCTATAACGTGAGCTACATAGTTGGAAAAATGGAACTAAAGAAACCAAAAGTTTAAAAAACAAACCATCACAAGTAAAGAAGATAGGGGAAAATAAACGATGAAGTGTGGTATAAAGATTTAGAAGAAAAGGCGTATAAATGTACCTTGACCCGGACTATCGATCGATCTCTCAGGGCTTTCAACTAGGGCCTATAATTAAACTCTTTCGGTTGTCTTATTGACCTGGCAACTGCTTCAACAGTATGAAATACCACAAATTTTTATGAAACTCATTCAACAACTATATGAAGACACCACATGCCAAGTAATTCACAATGGGAAGCTTAGTGGTGACTTTGAAGTGAAGATATGGGACAGGAGTAAGACAAGGCTACCGCCTACTACCACACATGATGTTCCTGATTGTGGTCGACTGGATCATGCACCTAATACTGAGAAGAGAGAAAAGGGGGATACGCTGGACCACGGAAAAAGATGCTAGAAGATTTGGATTTCGCTGATCACTTCTGCCTTAAACTCGAAGATTTACAGGCGAAAACTAACAAGTTGACAGAAGAGGTAGGGCAGAGAAGATAGGACTTCAAGTGAACGTGGAAAAGATAGAGGTGATGATGATACCCAACCAATGCCACCACCAACAACAACAACAACAAACATCAATCATCATGAACGGAAGAAAAATAAAGCAAGTTATCTCTTTAACCTACCCACCTTAGCAGCATACTCTCAACTACAAGCACCACAGGCACAGACAAGGATGTCAAAGCCAGTCAGGATAGGAAACACAGCAAGACAGGTGTTCATTAACCTGAAATCGGTGTGGAAATCTTCTGCACTCACCACAAAGTGTGAACAACATCCGGATTTTCAACACTAATTCAGTCAAGTCAGTGCTTCTATACGATGTTTGAAAGACTTAGCGAATTACGAAATGGATTTCCAACAAACTGCAGACATTCGTCAACAACTGCCTACACTGGCTCGTTACTGAAGATCAGATGGACAGAATAATAAGAATAAGCAACAAGGAACTCTGGCAACGAACCAACCAACAAATATGCAGAAGAAAGTGGAGATCGATTGGATTGGATTGGACATACACTGAGAAGACCATTTGGGGACATCACGCGGCAGGCCAGTCACTCGAGTGGAACCCAGATGGGAAACGACAAGTTGGGCCTCCAAGGCGAGGGTGATATGGAGGAAATCATGTGAGGAAGAAATGAGAGTTTATGGGCAGTCGTGGAGCCAGGTCCAAAAGATTGTAGAGAAGAGATTGAAATGGAGACGTGCTACTGAAGCCCTATGTTCCACTAGGAACCCAAGGGATAAATAATAATAATAATAAATAATCGACCTAAGTATAGTAATCTACAATTTTTTCTTTCGCATGAGTCAGAACAATCAGCGCTATCTTAATCTGGGTTTTCGAAAACCGTTTTCCAACCTAACCCTCCTCACCAGGGTAGTTTGCAACTGTGAGTTAACTGGAGCGAAACACATGTAACAGGTTGTGTGTGTTTTTTTCTTATGACAATTTGACTGTAAAGAAACATCCTACATAAAATTCTAGGCAGGTAAATAACATACTTCGTTAGAAAAACAGATTGTCACAGACTCAGACTGAATAAAGAAAAAACTTATTCTAATAAGCCTACAATTATTATATTAAATAATTTCAGTCGATTAAAGAGAAAAAATTATGGAATAAGATAGCTTAAATGAGTATAACATCTGTCTGTCTGATTATTTATCAGTGTAGAATACATAAGCTAAATACATACGATTATTAATGACATTTATACATATGCCAATGACTATTGCATCTTCTTATCTTAGAAAAATATAATGAGATATGATGATAAGGATATTGTATTTAACTCTAAAACAAATATACCAATGACATAGATTCTTCTACTGTCTGTCAAATATCTTCATTTAAAATCAACTGTAGATAAGAAGGAATATTTTACAAACTGTTTAACTTGTAAATTAACTAAATGGAATATGTTAGTATATTACAGTTGATCAAAGTGATAATTGTACATTTTAGTAAAAAAAAAAAAAAAAACTTGGATCGAATACCAGACAAATGTAAATTTTTGCATATATTTATCACTAGAATATATATATATATATATATATATATATATATATATATATATATATATAGGATAAGCAATAAGACTGGTACAATAACCCTAGTACAAACCACTAAGTAGAACGATAAAAATCTAAAGATCATAGGTCTTTCAGACTTAATCAATACAAACAAATTATCAACCCATGAGTGTTGTGTAGATGATCTCCCTAACAATCCTTTCTCAGCTCTGAATATTGTATTATTTCAATCTTATTTATTGGATTAGAAACACACCAAGACAGGCTTTCCTTAATCTGAAATTATCAGTGTGGAGGTCTACTGTACTTAGCATAAAGCGTGAACAACATCCGGATTTTCAACACTAATTCAGTCAAGTCAGTGCTTCTACGTGATGCTTCACAGACTTGGCGCGTTACGAAAAACATTTCTAACAAACTACAGACATTCATCAACAGCTGCCTACGCTCACTGCTGAAGATCAGATGGCCAGAATAATATGAATAAGCAAGGAGGAACTCCAGTTGGCCCCGCAACGAAACAACCAGCAGCCAATCGCCCAATAAACATGCAGAAGAAAGTGATCGATTGGATCTGATTAGACATACACTAAGAAGAATATTTGGAGACATCACACGACAGGCCAGACCCTCGAGTGGAATCCAAAGGGGAAACAACGAGTTGGGCGTCCGAGGTGAGGGTGATATGGAGGAAATCATGTGAGGAAGAAATGAGAGCTTATGGGAAGTCGTGGAGCCAGGTTCAAAAGACTGCAGAGAAGAGAGTGGAATGGAGACGTGCTACTGAAGCCCTACGTTGCATTAGGAACCCAAGGGAAAAATAATAATAATAATCTTATTTATTACCTGTTCTATTGTGATATCATATAAGATGTAAGTGAATGGAATGAGATCATCTCTATTATTTAAAGTTACTTCGTAGAAAAATAATAAGGCTTAAACTTACAGTAAGTATTTTCGCCGGTAGTACATGACCAGTCATTCCAGTTAATTTTGATAAATTACGACATATTTCAGTCATTTCTCTACTGGGTATTGGTGGTCGACCATACCAAGTAGAAAGACTCGGTCCTATTGGATCAGATAATAATTCCACCAATTTTTGTAAAACACTTTCAATATGATCTCTGTTTCCAAAATGAAAAACAAGGAAGGCAAATAAAAGATAGGTTCAATGAATCAACCTACAAGCAACAACATTAAAACCATGCCTGTCGCACAAAAAGTGGCTACTCTGACTCGGTGGTCTAGTGGATGATGCTCTGACTTTTGGACTGATCGGCCCCGAGTTCGAGTCCCAGCGGGAACAATACTCACTAGGAAGGCAAGTCATCCAGCTGACGAGTCCTAAATACGACGAAACGCCTGTTCTGGATTCTACTACTATCCACTATCCATGATTAATAGATGAAATATCAAGATTATAATCATAAGTAAAGCATTTGTAAAGGGGAAAAAATCCAATTCAGTTACCACACAGACATTTGTGTATTTCGCTACGGATTAAACTTAAAGCGTTAAGGGATATGAAAATGGTCGCTTGTATGCGCAGAAGTATATGAGGTTAGATTAAAATCTATAACCCAATGATAAGCCTAGCCACCATCTGCCTCAAAATAGATTCAGGCTGGGAAAAGGGTCCTTGACTCTTCGTTTGAGTTATGTAGGATGATGCAGATTAGCCGTTTTGTATTGGCAAAACAACAGAAACATGTGGTTGGAGACAGACTTTAGGCAATATGGCTCAGAACCGATGTCAGTAGCGCAGATCTATGAGAACACATTATCCTCATCCTAATATCTATACTTAATCCCATCATTTACTCGTTCTTTCCTCCTCTCTTTTACTACTTTTCACTTCTAACCGATTTTTCTTTCCTTCTTCATCTTCCATTTTATTGCATTGATATTTGATGTGCTGATGTGAGATGTGGCAACTTAGACCGTTACGCAGTAATGCCTTATCCTACGTACATCTTGATGATGATGACTCAACGGTCAGTAATCAGAAATCTGGACCAATCAGTTACAAACCCACAAACGACTGAAAATAATGGGTGTATAGGATAAGTTTGTATGAGTAATACTGAACCCCAGAAGATAGAAAATCTTCAAACGATATTTGCTGAATAACTTGTTTCGTTATTCGCTTACAGAGACAGTGATTCATGCATGTTTAGGTATTAATTTTCTCTTATACACACAATCCTCCAACACTATCGATAACATTCAGTTATTCTATTCTCTATACTTATCGGATTTACATGTAACTCCTTCAAAAGTGAAATTCAATTGTGAATAAGGCAAATTTTTAAAATTCCCTGATATGATCATTACATCACTCATGATACAATCAACTGCAATAAGAACGAGAAATAATAATAATAAGGCTCTTCATCTGTGGAACTCAGACATTGAATATATATTAACAATTGATGTCTTATACATTTAAACAGTTATGTGAAGAGTTGGCGAATTAAAATTAACGTATACGTCAGTGAACTGATCAAAATGAGTATCATAAACGTATAGTAACTTCATTTGAAACATTTTATACTATGATAGCATCAGTATTTTAAGCTTTTCTATAGATTTGTTATCATATAGTGTGTGTAACTGATCACAGTTGACTGAATCCCATAGATCAGGTAGTGCAATAACAGTAATCTACCTGAATCAAATAATCCATCAGTATAAAAATTGTCTAAACGATAACCAATAGGAAAGCGCATTGTTCCAGTGACCAATCGACCTACAATCCTCAATGACGTACAGACAATGATAACTGTAGTTAATTCTGGCTGATTAAAAACTGACAACTTTAAATAAATTATTACACGAAATAAAATAATAATTACAGTATATCCAAATGAGATATGGTGCATTCAGTAAGCTTGTAATTTAGATGCCAAAATCATACCAATACTATAAATGCGGTCTAGGAGGAAAGAAAGGTACCTACCTATCGATTGGAAGAAGGGCTACCATCCAAAACTTCCAAACAAGGGAGACATAAGTCTTTGCAAAAACTGGCGAGGAATCACACTCCACTCCTGTCCACACAAAGCAAACTATTAAGCCGCATCATACTGGAGAGATTACACAATCCTCTACATTCAAAATTACAACAGCAACAGGCTGGCTGCTTGGCTTCAGGAAAAACAAATCATCTGCAGATCACATTGCAACCCTTCGCTACGCACCATCATAAAACAGAGCACAGAATAGCAGTCAACTCAACTCAACCTCAACTTCATCGATTTTCAAAAGGCCTTCGATACCGTCCAACGAGGAGTAATTTGGCAGGCAGCTGCTTCAACTCTACGGTTTTAGTCCCACAAACCTTTATCAACCTCATTCGACAGCTATATGAAGATGCAACATGCCAAGTGATTCACAATGGAATACTCAGTGATGCCTTTAAAGTGAAGACAGGAGTAAGACAAGGTTGCTGCCCACTATCACCGACCATCTTCCTGATTGTGGTCGACCGGACTGGACTGGATCATGCAACAAACAACTGTGAAGAGCAGGAAGATAGGCATACACTGGTTGGACCGACAAAAACACCCTGGAAGATTTGGTTTTCGCCAACGACGACGATTTGTGTCGAATGTCTTGTCGCACAAACTCGAAGATCTACAGGCGAAGACCAGCAAGTTAGGAGAAGAGGTGAGGCAGCGGAGGAAGACGTGACTTCCTTCAGGTGAACGCAGAGAAGACAGAGGTGATGAATATACCCAACCAACAACAACAGCAAGCACCAATCACCATCAACGGGAGAAACCTAAACGAAGTAGTCTCTTTCACCTACCACATAGGTAAGGCAGCATCGTTTCAACTACAGGTGGAGGCAGCACAGATGAGCATGTCAAAGCCACAATCGGAAAGACAGCAAGACAGGCCTTCATTATTCTGAAACAATCAGTGTGGCGATCTACTGCAATGCACTACACTGCACTCCACTCAGTATAAAGCGTCAACAACATCTCGATTTGCAACATTCATTCATTCAATTAAGTCGGTGCTTCTATGTAATGGTTCACAGACTTGGCGCATTACAAAAAGTATTTCAAACAAACTGCAGACATACACCATCAACACATGCCGCCTACACTCACTCGATACTCACGATGGAGATCAAATGGTCAGAATAGGAAGAATAAGCAACAAGGAACTCTGGCTGGCCCTGCAACGAACCAACCAAAAACTTATCATCCAATAAATATGCAGAAGAAAGTGGAGATCGATTGGATTGGACAAAAACTGAGAAGACCATTTAGAGACATCATGCACCAGGCCACATAGTCGAGTGGAACCCAGATGGGAAACGGCAAGTTGGGCGTGCGAGGCGAGAGTGACATGAAGGAGATGGTGTGAGGAAGAAATGAAGGCTACTGGGCAGCCATGGAACCAGTTTAATAAAACTGCAGAGAAGAGAGTGAAGTGGCGAGGTGCTACTGAAGCCCTATGTTCCAAAAGGAACCCAAAAGACAAATAACAATAACAACAACTACAACCGCAATTGTTGTTCATCATATCTTTCTCAATATCAAGACTAATGTTTGCTTTTCAGTATTTAGTTGTTTCAAAATTCTGTTTCCATTAACAGACTACTCATGATGGTGAATGACATGAACAGTGCGCATCTATGACCACGGGAGGTACGTCGAACTTGATACACCCCCAACTGGTCACAATATCTCGTTAGAACTTTAGGAAATCTCATCTCGAATTATATCATTAATGACCACTGAACAGTAATTCAATTCGGAGGTTTGTCGGGATTTATTGAATAGCTTGACTTTTATGAGGTTATGGATGCGCATTGTTCAGGAGTTCCACAATAGGATGAAATTAGCTATCTAATACTCCCAAGTTTATAATGGTTCTCATAAACCAACTTGAAATCAATAAATCCCCAATAAACCTTCAAATAAAAATATAAAAACTTTCCTTCTGTCTTATGATTAATTTCTACTTTGATGAAGTTAAAGTTTTACAGATTTTTGTGTGATAAGAATGAAAATATCACCTTAAAAAGTATGGGTTACATGTACACCATTCATTAATGAGAATAGATATGATAGATAGTGATATAACTTCGTTTCACAGGAAACGTATAAACATGAAAAAGATGACTTATACATTCAAGCGAAATAAAACAGTCCACTATGAATAGTATATATAAACACATAGAAGGACAAGAGGAATACTTCGTAGACTGAAAATAACCAAACGAAAACAAAAAAAAACCTACTTCATCTTAATGTAACATATATGATTAGGTTTAATTCTCTTGACAAAAAAAAATCGTATCTTTGTTGTCTTCAAGACTCAATCATCATCAGTGAGTAAATCCTATCAGTAATATCCGCAATATCATCAATGAATATTGAATATCATTTACAAAGTATATACCGCCCAATTAAAAAGTTACCAAACGAATAAAAACCTATAACAAGGTCATGAAGTCATACTGCTGATGAGTTCTATACTAAAACGAAACAGCTTTTCAGTGCTTTCAGGTTACCAATGTTTCACCAACTAATATCAGTACATGATGAATACTAACTTGAAATCAATAAATAAATTCTGACAAACCTTCAAAATTGTAGTAAAGAAAAGATCAAGCTGTAACTTGATTCGATTTTGTATATATTCAATTATTAAACGCTTATCTCTATGCATTTCATATTCATAGTATGACTAAACTATCTGTTAACTCATCATTATTTAGTTAGTTAAGAAAAAAATTAGCTTGTTCGCTTTCATTAAAGAAATATTTTGTGGATTAATGGTCATTCAATTTACATAATCAGAGTTCCAAATATCACTTGACTCATTATGTTACAATTTATTAGCTATTAAATAGGCTACGTCATAATAATCTTATAATAATTTAGTTTTTCAATACATTCGATGGTGTCCGCTTTATTATGCATGAACTTATGAAGTTGTGTATAAATAAGCTTGAAATAGCTATATTCAACATTACTCTAGGTAAGTGGAACAAATATCCGCATTCTCAAGGAAGACACTAATAATTTCAGTTGCAAAAAGATCCTTCTTTTTGACGGTAGATTATTATTATTATTTGTCCCTTAGGTTCCTAGTGGAACATAGGGCTTCAGTAGCACGTCGCCATTCCACTCTATTTTTCTGCAATTTTTTGAACCTGGCTCCACGACTACCCACAAACTCTCATTTCTTCCTCACACCACCTCCTCCATGTCACCCTCGCCTTGGATGCCCAACTCGTCGTTTCCAATCTGGGTTCCACTAGAAGGCCTGACACATGATGTCCCTAATCAGCCATCTCAGTGCATGCCCAGTCCAATCCATCTCCACTTCCTTCTAAGTATTTGTTCAGCGATAAGTTCTTGGTTGGTTCGTTGCCAGCCAGCCACACTTCCTTGTTGTTTATTCTTTCTGGCAATCCATGTGAGCTTCAGTAACGAGCCAGTGTAGGCAGTTGCTGACGAATGTCTGCAGTTTGATGGAAATCCATTTCGTAATTCGCTAAGTCTTTCAAACATCGTATAGAAGCATTGACTTGACTGAATTAGTGTTGAAAATCCGGATGTTGTTCACACTTTGTGGTGAGTGCAGAAGATTTCCACACTGATTTCAGGTTAATGAACACCTGTCTTGCTGTGTTTCCTATCCTGACTGGCTTTGACATCCTTGTCTGTGCCTGTGGTGCCTGTAGTTGAGAGTATGCTGCCTAGGTGGGTAGTTGAAAGAGGCTACTTCCTTTGAGTTTCTCCCGTTGATGGTGATTGGAGCTTGTTGTTGTTGGTGGTGGCATTGGTTGGGTATCATCATCACCTCTATCTTTTCCACGTTCACTTGAAGTCCCGTCTTCTCTGCCCTGCCTCTTCTGTCAACTTGTTAGTTTTGCCTGTAGATCTTCAAGTTTGTTTGACATCAGACACAAGTCATCGGCGAAATCCAAATCTTCTAGGTACCTTTCCGCGGTCCAGAGTATCCCAATCTTCTCGCTCCTCACCCTTTTGTGCATGATACAGTCTACCACATTCAGAAATATCATGGGTGGTAGTAGACAGCCTTGTCTTACTCCCGTCTTCACTCCAAAAGTATCACTGAGCTTCCCATTTTTGACGGTAAAACTAACTAAAAATTGTATTTTGTTAGTATACAAACATCTTGAAAATATTAGATTTTTTCATAGAAACTACTTATGAAGTAGATCAAGAATGTCTACGAAATAGCCGAGCATTTATTTCTTTAGTTTGTTATAAATACCCAGTACTGTGCTATTACAAATATCCTGAGAGAATTTGATCGTCAAGTTTGAATTCATCATGATAAAAGTTAGCATTACTTCAAGATAATAAGAGTGTTTAGATTTTTCTGAACAGTTCTCTGTGTATAGCACAGCTTCTGATCTTCTAAAGAAGATAGGATTACGGTGGTGTGGTCTTTATCCACAGTATTCAGGATGCTACCAGGCTTGGTGGTTAGACATCCACAATAAAATATCATGGCTCAAAGAACACTGAGCCATCATCACCCTCGTCCTTAGCCACGAATCTTCTCCATCTTCTCTACATCAGCATCTTCCTCATGTTGAGTTACACATATGTTTTCCACTGTAGGATTATATTAAAACTTACTTGTACGATTTATTTCCTATCTTCATATAATGTTTAAAAACTGTGCGGAATCGAGAAATATAAGTTAGTCAACACTTCATGCACACAATATGACCTACAACATAAGTGATGGGCACAGAGACTAAATATCCTGTACTATTGAAAATTATATTAAATGTTGTGAAACTTTGGAGTCGTTCATACTATTTATTTACTTGAAATTCAAATATATTTAGCTCAACAATGTACATGAACTTCCTTAATCACTATAGTTTTCTTTTAGAAATATTGAATATAAGACAGAAAGTAACATGAAGAAATAACATTCATGCACAGAGAATGAGAGGAGATTTAGCTGCATTCATCTATAAAATTCATCATCTTATGAAGGCAATATTGTTCCTTTATCTGATTAATAAGTGATGCAAAAACAATGATGAAAGAACTGAAATCATGCCAAACTCCAATTCTAGATTGTATGACCATATTACTATTATTATCATTATTATTACTTATCCCTTGGGTTCCTTGTGGAACATAAGGCTTCAGTAGCACGTCGCCACTTCACTCTCTTCTCTCCAGTCTTATCAACCTGGTTCCACAACTTCCCACAAGCTTTATTTTCTTCCTCATACCATCTTGAAGTTGAAGACAGTGAGAGGGAAAGGAAATGAACAAACATCTTCTGAATACATAAATTATGTTTGAAAATTTTAATTGCTATAGCTTCTGCTATGCTTAGCAGATAGTGGATCACAAATTTAGAGTATTATGGGACTTTGTAAATAATAGTAAATGCTGAGGTTTTGTCAATCTTATGCTCAGTATCTACTAGATGAGGGAGTATTGAGCTTTTGATGGATTTCACTGTTCCTTTGCCTAACCACGTTGGACAGTGTTCAATGAAGCGATGATAAGCTTACCGAGGCCTTCTACCTATGAAACTATGTCCACAGGAGCAGTTAAATTTATAAATGCACAATATGTGTGGCCAGATTTGGAGGCCTACCCTTCAACTGCATTGGCATCAATACTCCCTAATCTAGTAGATACTGAGCATAAGATTGACAAAACCTCAGCACTTACTATTATTTACGAAGTCCCATAACAATACCCTACATTTGTGTGCCTCCAACTGTTAAGCATAGCAGAAGCCATAGCAATTAAAATTTTCAAACCCAATTAGTGTATTCAGAAGAGGTTTGTTCATTCCCTTTCCTTCCGATGGCCTTCAACTTCAACCCAGATACAAATACAATAATTTCCTTCCCGATCATTCGGATAAGTGTAAGTAATCTCTCTGTTTGTACTACTATCATTATCATTTTAATTTTCGCCCTTAGTTTCATAATTGATTAAGAAACCTAACATTTTATTACCTAATCGGTATGCGACAATAATTTTATTTCCCTCTGTCTCTGCACTCACTCTCTCTCTCTCTCTCTCACACACACACACATACACACCTACAAGGATTGGCTACTAAGAATGTGTACACTTTCCGAGATTTTGCTCCGTTACTATCACCTTTACTGTTATCTTCTAATTCGTATACCCGAATTAATTTCACTATGTTAATATCAAATGACTTTGCTGAATAATTTTTAAATTTAAGTATAAAACCTGATGAAAATTTACCGAGAACACGAATTCTCTTCAAACTCTGTCTTCTAATCACCACAAAAAGAAATATTTAAATTACATGTATGCTGATACGAAGTATTGGTTTAAAACAATAGAACTGATTGATTTGCAAGATATGTATGAGAAAAGAATCATACCAGTCTAATGTTGTTAATGTAGATAAATAACGATTCCTCTTTCTGCTCCGACCGTGTGTACTTTTCTTATACTTTTGGTTTTATACTACTTACTATTTGTAAGTAGTGTAGTTCACATTCTATACAATCCTACATCACTTACCACCTAAATTATTCAGCTCCATTAAAATTCCTATTTTATTCACTACTTTAAAATACTGAAGCACATTGATATCGTCGCCTGTTACATTACAGTATTGTTATCACTTCAGTTATCTGCCTTATCCCGGTTATTATACACGAGTTTTTTGTTGCTGATATTTTCCACTGTGGCTTGCCTAGGACGCAGCTCTGCTGTTGATTTTGCTGACACAATTCCTGTATATCGTTCTTGACAGCAATGGAACCTTAGACATCTCATGATTCAAGGTTCGATACTTAATACAATACCATATTATCTTTGACTATCTGAGATAGCCGTAGTTTGGCAGACTGGAGTATTTATACTGGGTGATGATTGAAGGTGAAATGAAAATATGGACCGCGGTTGGATTCGAAACACAATACTATATCATATACAAATCACATGCCTTGGACTTTACATGTCACTCAAGTGGGCTATAATTTCCAACTTCCCAACTATGGTGCTAACATGGACAGTAGAATTTGCAAATCATCTGAAAAATGATAATTCTATTTTAATGTATGTTTGAGATAAATAGGGATCTTAATTTAGAGGTAGTATTCATCACGGACTGACATCAGTTGGAGCACCATTGGAAACCTGGAAGCACTGCACAGTTGTTGAGTCCTAGTATTGGACTTCTTAGCAGTACGTACCCACGACCTCATCCCACCGCGGATCAGACTCACGACCTTCGGGTTTCATGGCGAACACGTTAACTATTCAGTCACTGGGTCGGTTTTCACTGCTTCAAAATTTCCAACTTCAGTCAGTTCATGATATAGTGCGACTATCACTTAAGGTCTTCAGTTGGCATCCGCTTCCCATCCGACTGCTTGACCCCACAGGTCACGGCTTCTCATTAAAACTTCATGAGTATCAATCTGGAAGCATGTCCTTAATGAGCATTGTACAGTACTATATTCCTGAGATAAAGATTTTAACTTTGATGCAGTATTTTATCACGAACTGATATCAGTGGAACCTGTAGGTTCTGAGTTCGATCCCTAGCCGGGTAGTGGGTGCGTACTGCTGGGGAGTCTCATACTAGGACGAAACAGCTGTCCAGTGCTCCCAGGTTTTCAATGATTCGCCAACTGATATTAGTCCATGATGAATACTACCTCTAAATTAAAATCCCCATTGTCGTTTTCATTCCTGATTTTTTAGAAATAAACTTAATAATAATAATAATATGAAAGCATTATTATGATTGAATTATAAGAAAGCACAACATTACAATCATAAATACTTGCTTGTATAGTTTTTCAATATGATCCAGATCATTCAATGCTATCCGACTTAGACCAAGATTAGTCTGATATAATGAAGTTATAAGGAAATTATCTTCATTATCTGATATCTTTTTAAAATCTAATTTAGAGATTCTATAAAACAAAATAAAAATGAGGGAAACAAAATAGCATTATATGACATGAACAGAGTTCAACAATTTCAAGCTTAGTCAAAAAAAAACAACAGTATCATAAACCCCAAGATGATAGGAATCAGTGGATGAGGAATCTTGGTAGTATAGCTTAAAATCAGTCACAATGATGCAGATCCAGTCACTGTTTAATGCCTTCTAAAGCTTGAATATCTCCACTAAGCTTTATACTGTTTATTCTCTCATACATCTTGACTTTTTTTTTGACCTATTCATCCTTATAAATACTACAATGAAATGTGGCAACTGAAACCAATGAACTTGTGTGAGATGTTCAAACTTAATTTCGTATCTGTCTGTCTATATGTCTGTTTGACTAGCATGCTCCACCTGAACGACTGCCGACTTGAATAACGCGATGTTACTTGAAAAGAAATTGAGAAAAAGTAATCGGTTATCTGATATCTTACGTAACAGAATATGCAGATATTTACATATTAATTTATTATGTGAGTTTATAAGCCCCAGACTGGATAGGATGACGAAAACCTACTGTTATCTCTCTAATCTACTACAACATTTGAGTGTAGCATATAAATAGTTGCAGGATGTTACTCAACGCTGATACTTTCCCTGTCTCTCACAATCTCACTATCCACCACTGCAGGCGATCGATCCAAAGACGTTCGATTAACTTACGTTTAGGTTGCTTTCGAACTTGATGGTGGTCAAAGTCAGATGGTATCAATCTTCCTGCACCAATCAGATTCTATGACGTTCTTGAAATCTTTCCTTACCTCTGTTTCAAATCCAGACTTAATATCACACCAGGTTTTCTCAAAATGAACGTTGCTGTCATGTTCAGATAAATGCTTAACTAACTATCTAAACACCTATTTGGTATCTCCATCTTCCAATCGAGAGTATATAGGCTGTACTATCGCCTGTTTTCTGTTATTAGTAAGGCGTAAACATACATCTACCAGTATTTACGTATGATTGGAATTCAAACTGGTAGTCCAGAAAGAGCGATAATCGTCCACCGATCCTCTCTAACGATAGCTTATAGCATTGTGATCTATCTGTGTTCATCGTTGTTTTAATTAAGGCATTAAGTTAGCACTGGACAGAAACAAGTGCTTACCAGAAGGAAATTGCAACAGCCGACCAGTCCCGGTTACTTGGCATGGAATTCCGTAAATAGCTTCAAGATGCTTTTCCGATCGGCTTAGCTTCCCTAATTGAGCGTAAAAATCATCTGACATTATGACTACATTTGAATCGATCCTTCGCATTGTCCGAACTGCAGTCGGTGGGTGAGTACGCGGAGACTACAAATAGACATCCCCCAGTCTCACAATCCTTCCAGATCGTTACAGATCCACCCAGTCGAACAGCATATAGACGGCCGTTAACTGGTATCCAGTCGAGAAGTGCACTTTCTGCCCTACAACTCGATGTTATGCCTGCACCAGCTAGTTCACGAGAGCTAATCACTGTGTCACCCAATACTTGCAAGGCGAATTTTGAAGATTCACTACTATGGCCAGGTGAGAAGAATTTGATAGCCATACTCGGGTCCTGTATATAAGTCTCACAGACACTGTATACATCCATGGGCTACAGATTCCACAGTTCTAGCGAGCCATGCCTGTTGCCCAACTTAATATCGAGTTCGGACGTTAAACGTCGCGATGTAAAATCGATGGTGGGGTCTAAGGAGACTATAAATGAGGTTCCAATGGCTTCGTTCATTTACAGTGGTTGCAGAATGATGTTGGATAAAGTATAAGAGGCTTAACATTAGTATCAGAAGGTGAAAGCAAAGGAGGAGACAGAGTTGAGAAGGATAAGTTATACTTGATTTGTTCTTGTGCACTACTGGAAGCGTATGGGTTGTTGACACTTTCCGGCTTCGCACACTATAGAAGGCTATTTTCTCTTAGAATATCTGAAAGAATAAACGGTTTGTGTGACTGCAGAGCCGATGTGACACCCGCTGAAGGGATGTCCCACAACACACAGCCTTTTGAGGATTTTTGTTTTGACATTTAGTTGTTGTAATGCTGGGCATAGAAAACACATGCCGTCGGTGGCAGAAAACAGTGGGAAAGGATGGAGTGTTATTTTTCTGACCGACCTTTTCAAAACTCCCACTCCAGTTGACTCAAGGAAGGCGGCGCTGATGGTCATGCAAGAGAGACAACTTACTGATGTCACAACTCATCCAGCCAGCAGTAGGACTTCGCTCTTTTGAATCACATCATAGTATAGTAATTAACACTACAGTGGTAACCTCTTTTCATCTTATCACTATCGAACAGACCTATCTAGACCTCGAGGGAACAAGTGTTCCACCAGCATATCTCGTCGGGTCATTATGATATGCAAGCCCAACTACTACGTCAAAGTAGCAGCCATAGTTTTTAAAACGCAGAGTACATCAGATAATGATTATAAACAGCTAAGTCAATTAGTACGGCCCAATAAAGAATGCATAATAAGGTAGCGGATCTTCATTCTTGCATGTACAGATACCACTCACTCCTAGGAAGATCAATAAGAGAACAATTACAGTTCAATTTTTTCCTCATTATAGATTAGATGCGTTAAAAATAAACCTCATCATAAGCCTAACTTAGTTTCCAACGTTCAATAATTTCAGAATGCAACCAGCTACATATCTGATTTTGGCAGGAGGCAAGACCTGAAACTTTTCAACTTAGGTGTTGAAACTACTGATAAGTGTTTGAGTAAGATAACAGAAACAATGGAAAAGGAATGAGATACAATGATGTCCATTAGGTAAAGAATTCTACCAAAAAATTCTCCATCAAATTAATGAAACCAGAATAATGTAAAGATATGTAACATGAAAAATTCGATATGGAGGCTAAGTACACCATTTCCAACAATAAAGTGGGTTCATACCTATAAGTGACTTCAAAAAGTAAAGTCAGCATTTTATGCAAAGAAATCAACAATGTAGCAACTTCAATCGCGTATCAAACAGTGTCAAGTTTATAATCATACTGATAACGATAAGAAAATGATTGATGAATTCTTCAGGTATGACAACCTCATAAAATCACTAGCAACTCTCGAATTCGGCTGTGGTCCAAATTTTCCATTTCACCTTCAATTATCACCTAGTATAAATACTAGTCTGCCAAACTACGGCTATCTCATACAGTCAAATGACAATCATTATTATGCTCCCCCTCTTTAATTCAGTTACGTTTGGTTTCAGACAAGAAGTCCTGACTAGGCAGCCAGTGTGAATACGACCGAGAGATAGTAACACGTTACGAATTCATATGGTAGTCAAACAACCCCCCCCCCCCCTCGTAATTGAAGTGGAATAAAAATGTGGTCAGCAGTCGGACCTTGTAGCTCAGTTGGTACAGCATCGGGTCGGTAACGCGATGGTCTCCGGTTCGAATCCGGTCGCGGTCCAGAATTTTCATTCCACCTTCATTCACCACCCATTAACAAAATAATTTCCTGCTTTTCTAGGTATAAAACGTTATGTATATAATATGCTTTTACCATTATTATTACTGAAAAAAAAAAAGAAATGAACGACTGAGAGAAATCTAGTAAATTTGAAAAGGAAAAACCATCAGAACCAAATTACCTTTCTAATGAAACTCGTATACATGGTAGAAAATGTACAATCAGCTGTAAACTGCGTAGTGTTAAAGCAAGATTTTTAGCTGATATACGCTGAAGATCAACTTTTTCACACGCTTCAGCACCAAGAACAAGTTGACATGCACGAGAATTAAAATGCTACAAAAAAATAAAGATAGAAAGTATATTTTTCGGAAAAAAAGGAAAAACAAATCTGAATATGAAATGTTTCGAATGCTATCAACATACACTTACTTCACCAATGGATGAATTCGAAATGTAATTAGGAAATAACAGAAATTGAGAGAGTGAATACGTATTTGTGTGTAGTAGGCAATGAGCTAAATTTCATGAATGAGAGCTAATGATACTGTATAACTGTTTACATATAGACAGTTGGGAATTATGGGGGGTTCAAACACGTGATGTACTGGTAAAAAAAAAAATAGACAATCTAATCCTATGAGCCACACTTCGACTACAGTTAAATTGAATTGGAATAAAACAAATTGACAATGATAATTAATTTCTGTGATACACAAAAATCACTCACATAACCAAATGCTGCCTTTGATAAATTTTAAACAGCATAATGAGAAGATGAAAATTATCTGAAATATGTGTGATATATTAGCACTCACTATACATTACGAACAATTTGATCACATATGAACTTGTCCAGTTATTTGTATAGAAATTTACGTATAGGGTCAATAGTGAAGTCAATAGAGAATATAGAAATAGGAAGGGCAGAGAAAAAAAAATCACCTTAGTATGAAAATGCAAAATCAATACTACCAAAGTAGGCTCAATATGAGTACAAATTGTTTTTGTATACATAAAGGGGGTTTGAATTTACGCGTGACAAAAGTTTCAATATATTTAAACACTAGGCACTGACCACTTTTATATAGTACGGATTGAAAACTGTTTTCATATTACCCTGCGATTAGTTTCTAGTATATATGTCACACAAACTTGAAGATCTACAGGCAAAACTAACAAGTTGACAGAAGAGGCAGGGCAGAGAAGACGGGACTTCAAGTGAACGTGGAAAAGATAGAGGTGATGATGATACCCAACCAATGCCACCACCAACAACAACAAGCTCCAATCACCATCAACGGGAGAAACTCAAAGGAAGTAGCCTCTTTCAACTACCCACCTAGGCAGCATACTCTCAACTACAGGCACCACAGGCACAGACAAGGATGTCAAAGCCAGTCAGGATAGGAAACACAGCAAGACAGGTGTTCATTAACCTGAAATTAGTGTGGAGAACTTCTGCACTCACCACAAAGTGTGAACAACATCCGGATTTTCAACACCAACGTCAAGTCAGTGCTTCTATGTGATGGTTAAGAGACTTGGCGCGTTACGAAAGGCACTTCCAACAAACTACAGATATTCATTAACAACTGCCTACACTGGCTCGTTACTGAAGCTCACATGGATTGCCAGAAATAATAAGCAACAAGGAAGTCTGGCTGGCTGGCAGGCAGGCAACGAACCAACCAAGAACCTATCGCTCAACAAATATGCAGAAGAAAGTGGAGATCGATTGGATTGGATTGGATTGGACATACACTGAGGAGACCATTCGGGGACATCACGTGACAGGCCAGGCACTCCAGTGGAATCCAGATGGAAAACGGTGAGTTGGGCGTCCGAGGTGAGGGTGACATAGAGGAGATCTTGTGGGGAACAAATGAGAGCTTTTGGGGAGTCATGGAGCCAGGTTCAAAAGATTGCAGAGAACAGAGTGGAATGGAGATGTGCTACTGAAGCCCTATGTTCCATTAGGAACCCAAGGGACAAGTGATAATAATAATAATAATAATAATAATAATAATAATAATAATAATAATAATAATCGATCAGTGCTGTGTCACATTTTAAAGTAAAAGATACAAATTTTCTAGTTTTTCATGACTACAATCGAGACAATACTCATTTGAAAAGTAAAATAGTTGAACAAACTGATTTTCCCTGAGTTTTGACATTCTGTCGTGAATGTTTTAATCACTAGGCTTGATGACATCTTCAGTACTAACTTTATGAACAAGTGAAGTATATTCGAATATTATATGAATGTTTAGATAGTGTTTTATTGACTTTCGGATGTTGTCCAATTGTAAATTGAAGACAAGATTTTTACTACACATTGACCTCAAACTTCTTTCAGTCACACTGGTAGATAATCTTCGTTGGAGTGAAATTGTGTAGTGTTGTTTATTCCCATCACGTTGTGCATCATTAGTGATTTATATGGGATGATTGATGGCTGTTTTTCTCTTTCTTTTTGTTATAGGTAGATTAGATCTATATTTACATGTATGACAACCTGAACAGAAAATTACACATTCAACTTGTCAAAACTGAATAAAAATTTAGCAAACATACGGAAGACAAAGAGAACCTAGAGATATTTAAATCTTCAATGTTCAGAATATACAAAGGGATTATATTTGCATCATTGTAAACACTTCAACAACACAACATCTAAAGCCTCAAGTCCTCATTAGCGTTAAGACCATTAAATACCTTAGAAAAAGAAACGCTATGATCAGTGATCATATCTGAGCGTGAATTGCGTGTTCATTAATCAAGTGTATAGGCATTCAGAAACTATCGGATTTATGTATTAAAATGTTTGTTTTTTTAATATCTGATAATTAAACATATAATCCAAAGGATAAATAACGTGGTGACAAATTATTATACATTCAATTCTACAAGAAAAGATATGACGTAATCGTTTTAGGTATCCAACGTTTTAAGCAGTAGATCCCGATCAAGCTCCATTTCCAACGTAATGTTCTAAACAGCAATGAGTTGTCACTGTTCAGAGACGATTAACTTTAAAGGTCAACCTAGGAACTGACAAAACAACCAATCGGGTTTCTGTATTTTAGCTGCTGAAGGTAGTTTCTCATAAAATAATGTTAATTGACTATCTTAGGAATCGCTGTGGTGACCTTTAAAGTCAACCTCAGACACGCATGTAATGCATGGAGATACTTCAAAAGTCAGTCTAACAATAAGAGGAGTACCGACCCTGGTGACTACCAGAGAAATCAAGGACCCACGTCAATGGGATGTGTCTGCACCCCAGTGCTGAGCAACGTTGTCCCCACCGGGCTCGAGCCCAATACCCCTCACTCCAAACACCAGAGTGCTACCCACTAAGCCACTGGGGAACGATAGACCGCCTCTTGTGCAACGGGTATCAGTTATTGTATTGATACTTGTAATTTCATTACTACAATAAATGAAATAACCAATAAGATTTGTTGATTTTAGGAAAAACTGACCTCTCAGTCGAAATACTGAGACCTGATTAGTTATTTTAATAGTTGCTAGGGTGGTGTTTAAAAATAATTCTGATGTGGGCGATTTTAAAAGCCACCCTAGCAACGATCGAAATAATGAATTAGGTACCTTAATTTCGGGTGGAAAGGCAGATTTTCATAAAACAGAGAAGTCTGATTGGTTATTTAACTTGTTGTTAGAGTGGATTTAAAGTTGCCCTAATATTTCCTACAGGTTAGACGAAAAACCTACCAACACGTGGTCGTTACAGTTGTTAGGGTGAGCTTTCAGGTCGCTTCTGTAATTCTATCGGTTGATCATATAACAGAAATAAGTCTGTTATTATGATTATGTTAATGTGAGCACAGGTAGTTAATACCGTTTAACTGAGAGTATGTAGATCTATTCGGAAGAACTGTTCGGTGGAAATCGTGTCAAACATCAGTCGCTTTAAAGGTCACGCTAACAACTACCGAAAAGGCCAATCAAGCTTCCGTATTTTAAGAAAAACTACCCTTTAGGCTAAAATTTAGATATCTAATTGGTCATTTTAGATGTTACAGTCACTCGTGAAATATAAATATACTGCAAACACAAAGCTTGTTCGCTATAGCTCATTCCGGAGCAGTAAATCTAGTCAGTTCTAAGTGCGGATTGGTTTACTTCATATATATTCCAAAATCGTTGCATAAACACTAAACAATAACTGTGAATATGTACTGAATGAGTCACATTAATTTCAATGGTTAGTTAGTAAGTATCGAAGTGAAACTCCACATTAATACGTAAAGGTTCCCACTTGCTCCAACCTCATACCACCATGTCAAGACAGAAATCTCTAAGATCAAAGCTAGAAAAATAGGAAAGAGAAATCAGTTGTAAGTGACAGAAGTCATGAAAACAAAACAATGATAAAATTCGCTGTGACAATGAAGACGAAGATAATATGCGGATGTCGTCTGTACCACTGACGACAATTCTGAACTATAATGACTCAAGTTATTAGCAGAAAAATGACTTCAAAGTAATCCATTAGATTGTAGCACTACTGGATGGTATAGAACGGAAGATGAGAAGCAATTTTTTAAGAAGTCCTGAATAAACCCCGTTGATAAAGAAAGAAAAGAAAATGAAAAATGAGCTAACGGATTCCTGTCAATCATCAACAAAAACATAGTGTCAATGACACAGTTTACATTTGATCTTTCTGATTGTGGTCGACCGTGCTGGATCATGCAACAAACTGCAAGGAGCGAGAAGATGGGCATACGTTGGCTTGACCGATGAAAAGATACTAGAAGATTTGGATTTCGCCAACGATGATGATTTATGTCGAATGTCTTGTCGTACAAACTCGAATATCTACAGGCGGAAATGAACAAGTTGGTAGAAGAGGAAGCAAAGACAGGACTGATTTCTGGTGAACGTAGAGAAAACAATGGTGAAGAAGATAACCAACCAACAACAAAAACAACAACAAGCACCAATCACCATCAAAAGGAGAAATATAAACGAAGCTGTCTCTTTCACCTAGCTAGACCAGGCAGCATCCTCTCAACTACAGGCGGCACAGGTACAGATGAGGACGTGAAAACCAGTACCGGAAACACGCCAAAACAGGCCTTCGTTAACCTGAAATCAGTGTAAAGATCTACTACACTGCACTCCACTCAGCATAAAGCGTGAACAACATCCCGATTCTCAACACTAATTCAGTCAAGTAAGTCAGTGCTTCTGTATCATGGTTCACAGACCTGGCTCGTTTCCAATAGCATTTCAAACAAACTGAAGACATACATCATCAACACAGCTACCGTCCACGCTCACTCGATACTGAAGATGGAGATCAGATGGATGGCGAGAATAATAAGAATAAGCAAGGAAGAAGTCTGACGACTGGTCCCACAACGAACCAACCAACCAACCAACAACCTATCACTCAACAAATATGCAGAAGAAAGTGGAGATGCATTGGATCGGAGTGGACATACACTGAGAAGACCGTTTCGGGATATCACGTGTCAGGACAGGTCAACACCTAGGGTGGAACCTAAAGGGGAAACGACAAGTTGGGCATCTGAGGTGATGGTGATATGGAGGAGATGATGTGAGGAAGAAATGAAAGCTTGTGGGCAGTTGTGGAGCCAGGTTGGAAAGATTGCAGAGAACATGGTGAGATGGCAACGTGCTACTGAAGTCCTATGTTCCACTAAGAACCCAGGGGACAAGTAAATAATAAATAACACAAAATCAATATGTACTGTAAATTATTAGAAAGAGAAAATGAGTTAGGTGGATAGCATTCCAAGGTCATGCATAGCTGACACAGACGATGTACGAATTTCTGTCATTGAAGGAAACACGCTTTTTAACAATATATTATAATCATGAAAAAAGAAGACTTAATCAATGTGTAAAGAAAATTCTTACATTGAGTAGATCAGCTAACCGATCTAAAATAAATTCAGTAGCTAATGGTTGACTAGGCAGTTTCTCATCTAATTTGATATACTCATTGATCATAGGTAACAAGAGGACAACTGTGCCAACTACAATATATTGTTCACCATTTAGAAAAATATGATTTTGTGTTTTGCCTTCTTCACTATGCAATTGAACTGTACTGGTATTGTGATTGGGAATATGAGATGGGTACACAAGATCCTATAGTGATCAAAACAAACAGAAGTAAGAAGACAGTATTATGAAAATGAGCTGATGTATTTAGTTTATACGCATATTTAACGTTATATATATATATATATATCATACTTAATGGTTGGTAATGTTTTGTACACTCACAAGATATACTGCTGCTTAGAAACAGGGAAGTTTTTAACTTCTCTCTATACTATGAAGTATATACAGAAAACTAACGTCTAAGGCACAATATACGCACTTTCTAGGCTTCGTACCGATGAAGTACAAACGCAATATAATCAGGTGCCTGACTTTTAGAGTAAGATCGATTTGTTCCAAGCAATGTGTAGAAAAAAAAAGAACTGCTGGGTATCCATGATATTGTAAGTGGAAATAGATATCCGGATAAGTTCACCAAAGCTAACACCAGCTACATTCCGTTGTTGTTGCAATATATCACACTGAGAATTTCAAATTGTACCACAAATTGTTTGAAATAAAGTGAATTACTATTATTATTCAACAAGAACTGATGACAGTGGAGAAGAAGCCTTAGTTTCTGCGCTCACAATTCAAGGGGATTGTTGTGAGTGATATCCTATCACAATGCCTAGCTAGAGTAGTCAACAGGACGTTTTATGCAGGTCGGCCTTGTATATCATTCAGTAGTCGGCCAATGCTCAATCTGAAACTAAAGGATAGTCCAGCTAATCTCAACTCTTCATTCTACATATGTCAATTTAACTGTTCTTGTGGAACCAGTTACATAAGGCATACGATTAGGCGGGTACGTCTCCGAATACAACAGCATTTATCAGATTGGTTCCAAAACGGTGGTGGTGAAAAGTTCAGTTTTAGCGCATTTAGTCGACATACGGCACCACATAACTACTAATAAAGCTTTCAATGTCATTCATCGTGTTCCAAAGACGATGCCGCATGTAGCTCACCAACGCTTGTTCAACATACCCAAGGCTGTCGCAATAAGATCGACCTCTCTGATCTAACTCTGAATTCAGAAAGAATATGTCCAAACGTTAGTTGAACCTCGGCCTTCAGCTAACTAAAGGCTAACCCTGTCATCTTATTCGTTATCTTTTTGTTCATAACCTTTATATCATTCTTCTGTGTGTATCATCCCAATATTGACTAATTTAAAGAATTTCGAGGGGGTTGTGGGGATTTAGAGATATTTTAAGTTAGTATTCATTGTAGACTGACATCGATTGGAGGAACAATGGGAACCTGGAAGCAGTGGACAACTGTTTCGTCCTAGTATGGAACTCAGCAGTGCGCACCCGCGACCTTCAGATTCTGTGGCCAGCACGTTACAATTGAGCCACTGGGTCGGAATCTAATGATTTATATTTCCAACTTCTGTCAGTTCACAACAGCGCAACCGCCACCTAATGTCATCATTGAGAAGATAAATCGATTTCTTTACAATCCCTAGATCTTACTCCATTTTGAAAATGTAATTACCCCCTGACATGGCTTGTTTTTACGCTGTAAAAATGGATTTTATAATTGTAGAACCTAAAGAGAATTTATTGAAAAGAATATTCTTCGTTCAGATTGTTGCTTTTTACAACCAGTAGAGCTTGTTAACCAAATCAAAGTGATTGAAAATATTGAAAGACTATTTCTTCTTTTTTTTCGAAAATTTTCAATCTATACAGATGAAATGTTCAAATTATTTCAAGTTTAGTATTTACTGATAACTTTTTATTTCATGATGTAATTCTGGATCGAATTGAAAGACTTCTGTTGGCATTTAAACTCCTATGCAGTTGTCTCGATACTGCTCTTATGCCTTAATGACCCACTGGATAACGCTTTGGCATTTGAACTGATAGGTGCTGAGCTTGGAGTCTCAGTGAGAACATCACTACATACTAGAGTGAAAGTAAACTCGGCTACCAAGAGCCAAATGAGATGAAATACACGTCTTACATTTCACTGCTAGACATTACCAACGAAAACCATTTCAATTTTTTTTTAACTACTTGTGAAAACTATCAATACACATCAGTAAAGTAATTGTTTAGTAAATAAAATCCTCCTAGAGATTGCTCTGTTTGATATCAGTCATCAGTAGATACTGTACACGTTCCCCTTTCAATAATTCAACCAATAGCTAAAAAGAATACAGAATGTGTACTTTAAGCAACAAATAATCTTGATCACACGTGTCGATAAGTTTATTCAATTCAGAACTAGAAACAGATGACAAAAAATTGATTCTTATTTTTTTTTTGGTAAAGCATCGAATTTAATAAGTCAAGTTACATTTAAGGTGTATAAACTATCTTACTGATTACAAGAATATCATGTATTTAACTGTCAGGGAAACTTAACATGTGAGCGTTACCAAGGCTAATTAATCCCTAAAATTCAGGCAGGTATAGTTTATCATAACTTATAACCTAGTGATCGAAGCTCAACAATTTAAAATCAGTGAATCATATTACACTCAGTATATGGAGATAAATCCTTTATAAAAAATTAGTTTCATACAAACATCTCAATAAGGATGGTGGAGTTGAATTCATGATATCAAATATAACAGATCAATTTGAGAAAGGAAATGACTGATAGTAACTAACGTGATACTTCACTTTATTTTACTACTACAGGTACAACAGATCTCACTTGAAGAAATAATCTCGGAACTTTATCTGTATACAAGGTATATTGACGACACTTTTCTTATTTACGATGAAACATGTTCAGTGGACGAGCTGCTAAGACGTTTCAATGATTGCCACCCGTCCATTAAAGTCACTGTAGAGGAAGAGTTAAATTCAACGTTCCACTTTCTAGACGTAGTGTTAAACAGAAGGGATGATGGCTCGATTCAAAGGTCAGTCTATCGAAAAGCAACCTGGACTAGCCAGTTCACTAACTTTAATAGTTGGGTATCTCTTCATTGTAAAAGAAATCTCATTTACTCACTGTATTCCAGAATCTATAAAATACGTTAAGAAAACACGGTGGATGCTGAAATGGAAATTCTTAGAACAATGCTATCTAATAACAGAGACCCTAAAAGAATTATTGATAAGGATTTGAAGAAACGAATCACTCCTCATTCTATTACATTTCCTAAGAAACTCTTAACCATGAATCTAGAATTCAAAGGAGACACCGCAGCCGAAGTGCTGAAAAACCCTCTGTCAAGGTGTATTAATAATAGCTTTTATGCTGCTAGACTGACATTGATATTCTCCAGCCGTTGCTTGTTTCGACAATGCGTGAACGATAGCCTACCACTTATGTCCACATCTATGTGTATCTACGAATTCACATGCTCCTGTGCAGCTGACTATATTGAACGTTGTAAGCGGGCCCTCTGAAAACGTGCTGCTGAATATTACCCGAACTGGTTTATCAAAGTCGAACGAAGGAAAACGACTTCATACATATGTGAACACCTAGTAGAATTAGGTCATTCAGCATCTCGAGACTTATCCTTTAAAGCAATTTACAAAGTCGAATTGAATTACCCCAAAGGTTTACGTTTCCATTACTTATGCGTCACTACAGCATTAGCTATAAAGGAATAAAAACCGAAAGTTTGCTTTCAAAAACGTTTTGTGAAACCACTTTCTCTACCTTGGCCTTAACTATTCATTTTGGTGATTCTATCAATTTTGTTTCACTTTACTTTGACATACTTCTCTCTTATTATCATCATAATCACCAATTTTCCACTTCACTGACAACATCTGACTCATATTTTACTACTTAATATCAATTGGTTCCTTATTCATTGACCCATTTTCTATTTCTTCCACGTGAGCGAACACCATCACCTACACCTATTTGCATTTAAGTGGTGAGAAACGCATCCCAAACATTATCAAATTCCTACTCAAAGTGTTCAGAAGACTCTGGATCTTGTCCGGGTCTCCACCCAACAGGACTATATCATCTGCATATTCTAGGTCTAACGAAAATTCTCCTAAGATTAGGTCAACCACTGTGTAACCTGGTGATGAGAGAGAGGCCTCCATAAGAATATCTAGGATGAAATTGAATAAGAATGGAGAGGGTGAACAGCCTTGATGGACACCACTCGACGAGCACAGCTCCCCGGATATCTCACCATAGGCTCTAACACGCCCACAAGTGTTCGAGTAGAGAGCCTTCAATAAGGCGATGTACTTCCTCGCCACGCCTTTCAGTGAGAGACATTGACATAAGACTTCTCGACCAACGGAGTCGAATGCCGCCTTAATGATCGGTACACAACTCCAATAAATCCTACAATTAAATACATCTAAACTGGTGACTAATAGGTCAGTGAGAATAATGCTATCACCTGTTTGCAAACAATGTCTCCTTCAGACACTTTAATGAAAAAATATTAGTAATAGTTTATAGAATATGGAAATTACCTTTGATTTACACTGTCCTACTTCGAATGACATATCATCAATCATTTGTTGAACTTGTTCTGGACACGTAGCGGCTTGCCAACGCTCTTGATCTAATAGTATATTTAACTTTTCACACTTGTCACGATGAAAACGATCAATTATTAGCTTAATCATACTAAGTACAAGATTACGCAATACTAGATCTGATTGAATTGAAGATACATACTGGTTGTTAGGCAAACAACCATTTGTATTGGAAACGGTAGTATTATTTCGTGGACTAGAGATAACAGTTGACTTTTTAGGGTTGGACTCAAATTTATTAGAGGATGATAAATAGGGATTGGATCGAACATGATTTTTTGAATCTTCCAACTGAGAATAAATAATTGCTTCCACAAGAATATCAGAGAATTTCAACCATGCTCGTAAAACATAAACCTTTAATAGGTACAAATAATAATAATAATTCTTAAAGTATGAAAGGTTTATAGATGAAACAAGAAAGTCATTAGTTCAAAATCTCTTTGAGTTAACTGACCATTTAACAAGTTAGTCAATATGTATAAACCATATGGATAAACTACACCTATGCAACTTAGGGACCCGGTATAGTTTTACTATACACTAGGTTACGGACCATACCAAATGCATGAGGCCTCATGATGTTACTCAGTGACACGAGTAGAAGCAGGCTTAGCAAAATTTTAAAATGGAATGTCTAAGCTAATCAACCCACTTCAGTTTAGTCAAGAGATAACAAGATATAAATGTGACGAATCTTTAATAGTGTCCTAAGCTACAAACATCATATCAGATAAATGAAGTCAAATAATCTTGTTGTGTTAAGTTGTGACTTCAGGCCTACCAGTTGAGTGACTGTGGTGTAGTGTCAAAGCTGGACTCTAAGTAAACGATTGTAAAAGAATAGAAAATACTGTACACGTGAAGTAACAACGAAGCAAGAAGTGGCAATCATACACAAAGCACATGATAAATAGTTGACTGGCTACTGAATATATCATATCATACTGATTGAAGAACTACTGTTCGGTAGAAAGCGAACAGTAATCAAACCGTATATGAAACCACTTCCTTATATCAACAATTTCTAGTTTGCAGTGAGCAGAAACGTTCAGGTGTTTGCTTAAAGTTCTCGAAATAATGTAGATCAATGTTCGAAGATTGCGTTTTCATTCAGATCACAATGGTGCTGATGTATTCTCTTTTTATCCTTCTGTAAATGTTGAATAGTTAACCAATTCATAACTGGGTAGAAAATGACTGATATAAAAGTAGACAAAGTTGTGTGACAGAATAAATAATCCGAAGATAACAGTAAGTACTAATATTCAAGCTTTAGACAACATCGACGCGTCAATACATCTGCGCTACTGCGACCGATTTTCAGCCATGTCAATAAGAATCCTCGAACATTGATTCCTTTCATCTCGGGAACCCCAAACAGGTAGTCTACATCTCCCAACACACTTCATACCAACAGTCATGAATTTCATCGATTGGTTCCAGGTCTTAGTTTGGCCACCCTGAACCCTCTTCCAACTTAATCCAACTTCCCCTATCAAGGTATGTTGAAGTAGGCGGTTGCTCGGAATGTGCAACATATGTTATCTCAGTCGATGAAGATTAGTGATCCTACCTGGCTACTACATTCTCGGTAGGTGGGACTAGGTAGAAGTTTGTGATAGTTAAACTTAATTTCTCACATTCTAGAAAAGTTATGTGTCCCTTTCCTATGGATATGGAGCTCGTTTGAATGGATTTATATGTAAGAGATCTTTACTATGTTGCTCCTAATTCTACCTCTTCAACGATTGGACTGATATAAAGATCTGACATGTGTATTTTCATTTGTATAGTGACTATGTATTTACTTAGGTTGTATGCAGCTGATGAAAATCCTGTGAAATAGAATTATGTCATCTTATTCAGCAACAACTGTTATCACTGAGTTATTCAAGCATACAGAACACAACTATCATACTACACCTTCATATCTTTATTTCTCTACTTCCTGATAAATACTGGTACGACTCAATTCACCTCTCTTCCACCAAGCTGCACGTATGCAGCTATGGCTCATCGCTTGAGGCACTTGGTTCTCAATCGATGAGTCACGGGGTTCTCACTGCACTCCATCTACCGGGAGTTTGAACAGTCAGATGGCAAGTAAAACTAGCTGTCACGAAATCAGTGTGACTCATCGTCTACTGCACAACGTTACTGGAATGATTTCGCTTCGTTTTAGTCCTCATGTATATGGAATGTGGCAACTTAGAATAACACATTATTTTAGGTTGGTGTTCATTATGGACTGACAACAGTTGGAGAACTACCGAAAACCTGGGAGCATAAGACGGCTGTCTCACCGAAGTATAGGAATCCTCAGCAATGCACACCCACGACCCCACGAACCTCGGAATTGAATTAATCTAAAGCTCATTGGTGACGACTAGGTGGTTCCTGAAATTTCAACGAAAAGACGTGACCAGTGGGGGCAAACCAAGTTAAACATGGGGACAGTTACTTAACGATGGCATTGAATGGAGGTCGCACTATATCATGAAGTGACAGAAGTAGAAAATATGGACCAATGGATCCCGACACAGTGGTTCAAAGGTAATGTGCTGGCTGCTGAACGTCAAGGTCCCGGGTCCGATCCTCAGCGGGGCCATGGGTGAGCACTGCTGAAGAGCCGAAGACTAAGAAGAAACAGCTGTTCAGTGTTCCCAGGATTTCAGCATTTTTTCAAATAACGTCATTCCATGATGAGTACCAACCTGAAACCAATAAATAAATCCCAACAAACCTCAAAATGAAAACACTATTACCAATAATATATATATATATATATATATATATATATATATATATATATATATATATATATATACCTTACATTGGACACCAAGTGCAGGGATAAACAACGAAAAGAGGAACTGAAGACAACCTATAAAACAATACACTGGCCAAAGGAGTGAAGAAGAGTGCGCGTAAAGACAAAAGACACTTCTACGACACATTGGCAAGTGAAGCAGAAGAGGCTGCAGGCAGCTGAGACAGAAACCTGACAACATTATTTCAAATTACCAGGTTACTATCCTGAAAGAGACCAACTCAGACGAAACCAATGAGAGATAAAGAAGGAAACTTAGTGAGCAACAAAAGAAAAAGAGAAAACGATGGGCTGACAACTTCAAAAAAAACTCTTGAATCAACCACCACCTGCAACTCGTCCAGTTATACCACCAGCACCACAGCCACAGAACTATCGGTGAACACAAACCCTCCAACAAAAGTCGAAGTCTTCAACGCTATAATGCTGCTAAAGTCCGGGAAGGCAGCAGGACCAGATGGAATTCCACTAGAAGCACTGAAGACAGATGCAGGGACAACATGCTCACACCACTACTAATGGTGGTTTGGAAGGAGGGAAAGGTACCTACCTATAGATTGGAAGAAGGGCTACCATCCAAAACTTCCAAACAAGGGAGACAGAGGTCTTTGCAAGAACTGGCGAGGAATCACACTCCACTCCTGTCCACACAAAGCAAACTATTAAGCCGCATCATACTGGAGAGATTACACAATCCTCTACATTCAAAATTACAACAGCAACAGGCTGGCTGCTTGGCTTCAGGAAAAACAAATCATCTGCAGATCACATTGCAACCCTTTGCTACGCACCATCATAAAACAGAGCACAGAATAGCAGTCAACTCAACTCAACCTCAACTTCATCGATTTTCAAAAGGCCTTCAATAGCGTCCAACGAGGAGCAATTTGGCAGGCAGCTGCTTCAACACTACGGTTTTAGTGCCACAAACCTTTATCAACCTCATTCGACAGCTATATGAAGATGCAACATGCCAAGTGATTCACAATGGAATACTCAGTGACGCCTTTAAAGTGAAGACAGGAGTAAGACAAGGTTGCCGCCCACTATCACCGATCATCTTCCTGATTGTGGTCGACCGGACTGGACTGGATCATGCAACAAACAACTGTGAAGAGCAGGAAGATAGGCATACACTGGTTGGACCGACAAAAACACCCTGGAAGAAGATTTGAATTTCGCCAACGACGACGATTTATGTCTGATGTCTTGTCGCACAAACTCGAAGATCTACAGGCGAAGACTAACAAGTTGGCAGAAGAGGTGTGGCGAGACAGCGAAGGAAGACGCGACTTCCTTCGGGTGAACGTAGAGAAGACACAGGTGATGAGCATACCCAACCAACACCACCAACAACAACAAGCACCAATCACCATCAACGGGAGAAGTTTATATGAAATTGTCTCGTTCACCCAGGCAGCATCGTTCAAACTACAGGCGGCACAGGCACAGATGAGGACATCAAAGCCAGGATCAGGAAAGCAAGACAAGCAGGCGTTCATTAATCTGAAATAATCAGTGTGGAGGTCTACTGTACTGTACTGCACTGCACTCAACATAGAGAGTGAACAACATCCCGATTCTCAACACTAATTCAGTCAAGTGAGTCAGCGCTTCTATATCATGGTTCACAAACTTGGCGCGTTACCAAAAGCATATCAAACAAACTAAAGACATCATCAACACCAGCCGCCTACGCTCACTCGATACTGAAGATAGAGATTAGATGACCAGAATAATAAGAATAAGCACGGAGGAACTCTGGCTGACCACGCAACGAACCAACCAACAACCTACCACCCAACAAATGTGCAGAAAGTGGAGGTGGATTGAGCATACAGTGAGACCATTTGAGGACATCACTCGCCAGGCCAGGTCGTCGAGTGGAAGCCAAATGGGAAACGAGTTGGGCGTCCGAGGTGAGCCAAGTTGAAAAGACCGTGTATATATATATAGTATATCACAACAAATTTACCTGAAAAGTACTCAGTATTTTGACTAATTTTCGAAAATCACTCCAATTCACTTTGTCGAAAGCATATTCGCTGAAGGTTGTTGTAAATCGAATATCCATTATTGGTGTTGTTGCTGTGTTCAACATTGAAATTGTCATTGTTGACAAACGTTTTTGTTGATTAGGTGAATTCATTGATGAAATATGAGATAAATTATTTGTTGTTACCATTCCCGCTGCTGTTGATGAGGTTATTATCCCTGTTACTGGCGTTATCGATTTCGATTCCATTGAATGATTCGATCCTAAACGGAATCGTGATGAAACTAGGATGGTTAAACGCTTTTGAGCCGCATTCCTGTATCCCATAAGGTTTTATGCATACGTTTAGCTAGTTCCTTAGCTTTGCTGACAGTGATTGTATGCATTGACTGATGCAAAGATGAAGAGGTGGAATTTGTATCACAATTTTCGACTACTTTACTCGGTTCATTTGAGCAAAGATTAGTTTCAAAAATTTCCACAACATCCTGTTTAAAGGAAATCAAAGAAAACCCATAAATTTACTCCTTTTAGAGCAAGACTATCTGAGATAGCTGTAGTTTGCCAGACTAGTATTCATACTGGGTGACGATTGAAGGTGAAATGAAAATCTGGACCATGTGATGGTCAGGCAAATTCCCACCTCGTGATTGAAGTGAAATAAAAATGCAGTCAGCAGTCGGACCTCGTAGCTCAGTTGGTAGAGTATCTGGTCGGTAACCCAGTAGCCGCTGCTTCGAATCCGGCCGCGGTCCAGATTTTCATCTCACCTTCAATCATCACCCAGTATAAACACTAGTGATATTCATTGTGAGTTATACGAAGTGTTACTCACTGAAGCGTGCATATTAGGAAATTCTCCCACCTTTCACTATGGCTCAATGATAGATACCTAGTAATTATTTTTTTCTCTCTATTCTACAAACTTCACTTATACCTTACATAATAGCGATCTACAAAGTTCAATCTTCCGTTTTTAGTCTGTTTATTAGATGTATCATACAGTGAAACCATAATGTTTACTGTATAGCATTTCGGACATAATTTATTGTCCATATTCATATAAATTATGTCCGAAACACTATATAGTAAATAACACTGTTCTACTGTATGGCATTTCTAATAAGCAGACTAACATGGAATTACAATCTACTACACTGCCAAGGTTTTACACTTATGCTGAAGTTCAAGTATGCGGACGTCTTTTACTTTTATAGGATACATTTACTCAGAAATCTTGAATCACTTTTACTAAACTAATCAATTCAACTAAACTTTAAAAACGGGAAACCTTAAGGACGACCAATTAGGTTGCGGATGATGAGGTCAAAGTCATTCATTACGTTCGTCTACAATGTTATTTGATGATTCACTCACTTTTGGTGAATTAAGATGCAAATTACGTTGTGGTTTGTATGTATGGAGTTAGATTACTTGCAATGAGCCTCAATTGTGAATGCGGTGTTGTAGCATATTGTGTATCCCACAACGAGAAAAGAGATAGTTTCATCTTTCGTTGTGTTACCTGCTACAAGCAGAAATACTTGAGAACAGGATCATTTTTCAAACGATCTCATCTAAATCTCCTATAATAATAACTTTAGTGCCATAATGGATTGCTAGGATACTTGAAATATCATCACGAGGTCTGACAGATGTCAGGGAAGTTTCTTCACTGCACCACTACCGAGACATTTTCTCCCAAATAGTTTGCAGGTTGGATGTGAAGTTAGATGGAGTAAGGAATGTGGTAGAAGCAGATGAACGCCTTGTTCGGAAACGCAAGTATAACCAAGGAAGACGGCTCAAACAGTAATGGGTAAGTTTTTATATATATATATATATATATATATATATATATATATATATATATATATATTGACAAGTCACAGATTTTGGTATATATGACAGAAATACAAAGAGAGGACACTTTCAATGCATAAAGGATAGATTAGAGCATTTAATTTTACAAGTTATAGAAAAATGGGTTGTATCTGGGTTACTTCCGTTAAGTCATTGTTCACAATAAGAACTTCGTCGATCCCACAACTGGAGTATACACGAACAATGTTGAAAATATATGGAGTCGTCTTAAAAGGTTTCTAAGACGCTTTACAGGATCACGAGGGGGATATGTACAAGAGTGGGAATAGAATGCTCAACTGTTCAACTTAATGACTACAGTCAATTTAGCACTACAATGATACCTTAGTGCAGCCATAGCTTGGTGCTGTCGGTAACTGGCTTACAATCAATGAACACAGGTACAGAGCACGTTTCATATGATAATATACTGTAGTCTAACGTAGTACGAAGAACAATCATATATATGGTGCCTAAGACTACTCTCAGTTGCATAATTCTTTTTATTTAAGCTTAAAAACCTTTGCTAAACACCTTAACACGTATTTCCTCATTTTTCTTAATATATATAATATCGACAACACGAGAAGAAGTAAGTTCAAAGCCTCTATTGTGTTACCATATAAGGAAAGAACATCAGAAACTTTACGCAAGATTCTCAACAAGACTGGAATTAGGGTGGCATTTAAACCTACAAACTCACTCAGAGATATATCGGGTTAAAGATCTAATAGATACAATAAAACAAAGAATCTAATGTACCAAATTCCATGTAATGACTGTGAAGCTAAGTACATATGTCAGACTAGCCGGTCGAGGTCACTCAGATTATTAGAACGTAGGAATTTAGCCAAACATGGGATGAAAGACTCCAATAAGATCAATAACCTAGAAAGAAACTCGGCTACTGCAATGCATCCAACGACATACAACCACACAATAGGTTGGGTGGGATAAAACCACTGTACTTAAGTTAAATATAATTAGGTGGAGACAGAGATTGATTACTGAAGCTTTGGACATCGAATCAATACCCAACACATGTAATAGGAATGATGTAACATCAATATGCCAGAGACATGGAAAATTTTATTACCAATAGAATGAGAGGTGACAGGACCATAAAAAAAGGAGATATCGAAGGTAGTGTGATTACATGGATATGATGGTGAGCAATGATTCATACTTGAAGAGTCATTGTCAAGTAAATAGTACTGTGTCACTGTGTGCTTTATATATCAAATACTGGGTGATGAATGAAGGTGAAATGAAAATTTGGACCCCGGCAGAATTCGAACCAACGACCACCGGCTGTGGTCCAAATTTTCCATTTCACCTTCAATTATCACCTAGTATAAATACTAGTCTGCCAAACTACTCATACAGTCAAATGACAATCATTATTATGCTCCCCCTCTTTAATTCAGTTACCTTTGGATTCGGATAAGAAGTCCTGACTAGGCAGCCAGTGTGAATACGACCAAGCGATAGTAAAACGTTACGAATTCACATGGTAGTCGCGCAAAACCCCATCTTGTGACTGAAGTGAAATAAAAATGTGGTCAGCAGTCGGATTTTGTGGCTTAGTTGGTAGAGCATCGGGACGGTAACCCGGTGGTCGCTGGTTCGATTCCGGCCGCGGCCTAGATTTCCATCTCACCTAGTCTGCCAAACTACGGCTATCTCAAAGAGTCAAATGATATATCAAACAAACAACTCTAATATAAAATTCCCTTTTTACCGACTTGAAAGAAATTATTGTTTTTTAAAATGCTTTCGATAACTAACACTAAAACTGGTCAGAAAGTACAGCACCATATAAACTCAAAAACGGACACCAGAGTAACGACTGGTGATAAGAATATACGCCACATACAGAAAACCTCTTTCATAATGGTGTATTGGAAGACATTGAAAGTCAGTTTATACTTATCACTACACCATACGAGGCACCATACACAACTAAGGCAACTTCATAATATTGATCCATAGGAATCAGTCAACTGGTTAGTTCATAAGCGTTAACAACTGTAAAGCACAAATGTGATAGATATGAATACAAAACGAAATTACTACCGACCTCACCTGACCACGAATAAGTAAATACTTCAAATCATTGCATAAATTAACTAGAAACCTCATCCATTCTTCAAAAGATAGATTACGCAATTGATCACTAGTTGGAAATGTAGTAGATCCAGTTATTGCAGATGAACTGATCAGAAGTGGAAAAGATTTGTAAAAAAAACATAACAATTTCATAACAACATTATTCACTTTAAAGTATCAATTTGTATTGTAAATTAAAAAAATTTATGCCATTTGACGCTTCTTAGCAGTGCGCGCCTATGATACCGCAGAGAACCAAGATTACGATCATCAGATGTCTCTCTACAAGAGCATCACCATTCGATAACTGGGTTGAAATCAAATAGTCTAATAATTCCCACTTCCTTTAAATCATCGTCATCCTCAATACCAACATAGGACCACGGATAACTGCAGAATGGTCCAAGTTGCCACACCTCATATCCGCAAGTCAAGCAATAAGGCAATGAGATGAAAAATAAAGAAAGGGGGAAAAATCGTTAACAATCAGTAAGTTAGAGAAAGGAGGAACAAGGAAATATTGAATTCAGTTTCAGTATAACCATTAAGATGTAGATGATTATATATATATATATATATATATATATATATACATTCGATTTTGAACCACTTCACCTGCGTCATCAACCACCTGGTTTCTATAGCCATGCGGAATCCCAACCGGGAAGTCTACATTTCCCTACACAGTTCAGACCAATTGTCAAAAACTTCATCTAATGATGCCAAGTTTTAGCTTGGCCATCTCTAACCATCTGACAAACGACAATATACCACGATCACCATCAAATGTCGTTGGTGAGCGTTCACCTCATCCCACACTAGGTTGACTCTACAGGTGATATTTTATGCCCTGGAATTTCGAGAAATCCATCCTGAGTCAAGTCCCTAGTGAGTACTGAATAGTCATTCTATTGTTTTTTCGTAAGGATTTATTGGTCTGTAAGAAGCAAGCCTTTCATGAGAAAACTGTATCATGATGAGATAGTTACGTTAACATGATTTGTTGAAAGAACAATGAGACAGTTGCTTAGTTGAACACTATTTTGTAAAAAAAAGCGTTTACTTTAAATTCTAATTGCAAGCGAAAGTAATAGTCTCAGGTAAAATATGAAATTAACATCGAACAAGAATGTCGATCATTATGACCAATACCAATGAAGAGGAAAATTACCTTCCTGGGTAATTTCCTTTTACAATTTATGATCTGAAATTATTTGTCACTCAGCATTTTTCATAATACATATATAATTGCAAGAATACGCTAATTTGACATGAAAATTACCAGTATTATTTACAAGGAACTATAGTGTGGAGATCTACTGCACTGCAACTCCGCTCAGCATAAAACGTGAACAACATCCCGATTCTCAACACTAATTCAGTCAAGTAAGTCAGTGCTTCTGTGTCATGGTTCAAGGACTTGACGCGTTACCAAAAGCAATTCCAACAAACCAAAGACATATATCATCAACACAGCTACCACCCACGCTCACTCGGTACTGAAGATAGAGATCAGATGACCAGAATAATAAGAGTAAGCAACAAGGAACTCTGGCGGGCCCCTCAACGAACCAACCAACCAACAACCTATCACTCAACAAATATGCAGAAGAAAGTGGAGATGCATTGGATCGGAGTGGACATACACTGAGAAGACCGTTTCGGGATATCACGTGTCAGGACAGGTCAACACCTAGGGTGGAACCTAAAGGGGAAACGACAAGTTGGGCATCTGAGGTGAGGGTGATATGGAGGAGATGGTGTGAGGAAGAAATGAAAGCTTGTGGGCAGTTGTGGAGCCAGGTTGGAAAGATTGCAGAGAACATGGTGAGATAGCAACGTGCTACTGAAGTCCTATGTTCCACTAGGAACCCAAGGGACTAATAATAGAAAAATAATAAGTAGAATTATTCGACTAAAACAACAATGAAATGTGATTCACTTCCAAAAAGGAGAAAAATTACCTGGAGCTAAGAGTAAGAAAATTATCGAACATGAAATAAATAAGTTTCCACTTAACCTCAGATGTTTGTGCGATAGTGTTAGATAGTCATGTAAGATACCTAACTTCTAGTGGTTAATACAAAGTAACTTAGCACAAGTTAGAGTGCTAAATCCTGAGCTATACATCTGCTGTGAGAGTTTATAATATTACCAAGTATTTATGGATGGCAGTGGGCTTCCTTCAACTCTGTTTGACCACTATGAACAACTAACAATTGAACTGGTAAATTTAAGTCTTCTTCTCCATCTTTCTCATTACTTGTACTTGGTACATTCGACTACTTCACATTTTGTTCAAACTGTTCTAACGTGATATCCAGAAAACTAGCTTGATCATCTTCACATGTAGCCAAAAAAACGCCAGCATCATTCGGATGCCATTCCACTAATGTGATCGGTTTTTTACGGTAGTCAAATATATGTGTGTACGCTGGAATAGGCGCAACTTTTGATCTCCCTTCGTTGTAACGATTATTGAATTAGTCGCAAATCCCATATTCTCAAAGTCCCATCATCTCCACCTGTCAAAAAATTTGTACGCTGTGACTGATTCCATGAGGCAACATTTATGTCAGCTGGATGAGCTTCACAGACAGTAATCATACGGCAGTTTGATACTGGAGCACGAATATCCCATACCTGTATACTATGATCAGAAGAAACAGAGATAAAGACGGTTGGTTCTGTAGGCGACCACTGAATATCCTCAACATGATTTTTGTGTCCTACATGCGCTTTCTTCGATACAGCCCAGTCAGTAGGTCGAGATATCCAGTGAAAAATATGGCCACCACAATCTCCTGTGGCTAGATATCCTGTAGCACTAGTGTGATGACTCCAGTCCACGGCAAAGCCTTCTGAAGCATGATCGTTAAATGCACATATCGGTAACGGAGATTCATTGTGGTGAGTATACTCTGTCATAACAGCTGAATCATCTATGGCTGTAAGTGGTCTCATTAGATCCCATATGAAAACCGATCTATTTTCTGACCATGACGCGGTTAGATATTGACCCATATGCTGCTTGGCTCGAACTCGGTTGACTGCACCTTGATGTAAGATTGTTGCGGCTTCGATTTCAGGTTCTGCATCTAAATCCTCTTCTGCAGAATCACTTTCATCCTCTGAATAGAACTTGCTTTTGTCAGTAAAATTGTTTCTTTCGAATGGAATCATGTTGCACGGGGGCATGACGACCAGTTTATTTTGATTACCTTTAGATGCTTCGATTCTAGCTATGATACAAGCACTGTGTGAGGCACCATTCACCTTGACACAGAGGCTTGGACCAAGGTTGTCGGTTAGAATATAAAGGTTAAGACTGGAAGACTTCACTTCTAGATCGAGGAACATTGTGTATACCCTCTTACCAATAACTAACTCCTCATCATCTTCAAGTGGCCGTGACCGACCTGGAATGTAAACTTCATCCTTGACCTCACACTCGTCAACATAATCAACTTAATCTCTGATGAATCCTCAGTTTTTTTTGTTGTTCCTTACCCTTGATCATCTTTCTAAGGACCTCATCTATATCACCTTCACCCACGCTCATCATCACTCATACTTGAAATCTTTCATCTTCATTTTCTTTGGTGTTAAGAAATGCATCTCAAACACTCGAATTCTCACCCAAGTTATCCAGAACGTTATGCATTTTTTTAGTATTTATACCTCATAGGACTATGTCATATGCTAAGGATTCTCCTGCTGTGTGAAGTCAGATGATGAGGAGCGAAACTTCTATGAGCACATAGTATGAGAGAGAGAGAGAGAAAGCGGACATCTTTGACGGACAATACTCAACATACATAATCAACCTGGTAACTCATAGTAGGCTCTGGCACGCCCACGGGGTGCTCAAATACAGACCAGTCAACAGAATAATGTACTTACTGGACACTTTGTTTGGTGAGAGATAATACCATAAGAGTTAAATACCGCATCCAGATTGAGAAATACAGCTAGTGTCAGGTTTCAGTAAGTGTGTTTGTATTCCAATACGTGGCAGACGGTTGTGGTCAATATATCCAAGGCCAGGTTTGAAACCTCCCAGGTTTTCTCAACGTTCGCTTAAACTCATTTTTCCCTTCACATGAACTGCAGCCAGTAGGTGCTGTAGTCAATATTACAAAGAGGCAACGGCAAACTACACTATTCTTTTTAATCCTCACTACACTATTTGGTTCGTACAGTGCACAGATGGTTGTCAAATGTGATTCAGTCAAGCAGTCCATTTTCTACCCTAAAACATAGTTATACCTGCAATTAGAACACAATTATCACTTGCATTCTGGTATTTAAGGACAGTAGTATTAATGCAGACTAACAAAGGTACTATCGTCCAGTGCAAGATCTCATGTGTGCGAGAAGGTTATCTTTACATTCCGTGACTATTGATTCAAAACCACGAAAACACCTGACATGGGATCATACAGAGAGACAAAATCAACTTGGAACCTTACACAAAACTGCATCGGTTCAAGTTGCCACACTTTACAAGAACATACAAATAACATGTGGATAGGAAAAGGCTAATATCGAAGTAGACAGAGGTATGCGACAGAATGAACAAATTGAAGATTTGAAGCTTAGCGGAAATACTCAAGCTTTAAAATACATCAAAAAGTGCAAACATTTGCGCCACTGCTATCGATTTTCAACAAGAATTCTCAAAAACTGTTTCCTATTGTCTCGAGGACCTAAATCAGGTAGTTTTCACTTCTCTACACTCCTCATAATAACAGTCAGAGACTTCATGCAGTGGTGTCATAACTTGGTTTGGTCACCCCATACCTCCTTCCAACCTAATCCAACTTTTACTATCATTACACGTTGAAGAAGGCAGTGACTAAGTCGATGAAGGTTCAAAACTTCACCAACCAACTTGCCCATCTTGCCTTCGTCTGGCCTCGATATTGCTAACATGGTGATTCCACCATGAAAAACCTATAACCGCTTCATATCTCCCACTGTTAACAGCCAGATCTCACAGTTGTATAACAGAACAGAACAGAACAGACTGCAGTGCAGTATACTCGTCCATTGATAGATAGTCGGATGTCTCATCGGTGCCACAGTTGACGCAAGTTTCCGAATGACAAACAGGTTTGCTGTATCCGAACTGAGATTTTATTAGCAACCTGCCCGTTCAGGATGATGAAATTGTCGACATATTCTACCACTCCACCACTTATTCTTAAAGTGAGAATACCTCCAGACCAGTTTTGAGGCATCATCTTAAAATTGACGGGTGCGAGATGCATGTCAAACATACTCAGATTTCTGCTCAATATGTTCACAAGACCCTGTCTGTATTTTGTCAGCGTCTTCAACTAGCAGGAAAATATCGTCTGCGTACTTCAAATCCACCAAGTGCCATTCAAAGAGTAGGTCAATCCCTGTAAAGTGAGACGTATTTAAGGTGATGCCCATTAGTATAACTATAAAGAAATTGAATAGAGACGGTGATATTCGGCATCGTCGGACACCAATAGTTGTCGGAATCAACGGAAGTAACGACTGACACCAGTTGGAGAGACACTGGAAACCTGGGAGCAGTGGACAGCTGTTTCGTCCTAATATGGGACTCTTCAGCAGTCCGCACCCACGACCCCACCAGAGGTCTAACCCGCGACCTTCAGATTCCGTGGTGAGCATTGAGTCACTGGATCGGAATCCAATGGTCCAGTGGGTGCGCACTGCTGAAGAGTCCCATGCTAGAACGAAACACCCGTCCACTGCCCCCAGGTTTTCAATGTTTCTCCAACTGATGTCAGTACATAATGAATACCAACTTGAAAAATAAGCAACTGTTAGCATTAGCTTCGACAATGTAAACAAACTGTATATGCATTCAAAGAAATCCTCACAGACCTATTTCGCTTTTGATATTATTATACGGAAATGTTTATAAAAAGCTTACTCTATAGCATAATCATTTCCAGGAGGTCTAGTGACTGATGAAATGTGCTGAGAGAATATATCTTTAACTCTTTTAATCATTTCTGCATGGAAACCACTTACAAAATCCAATCGATTAATTCGTATCAAACCAAGGAAACAGGATAATATCTATACAAGGAAGAAAAAAGAATTAATTATTCAATACATATAACAACTACAATAATATCATTAAATCTGTAACCAAGTGATTGCAATAAAAAAAGAAATAATATTGATAATAAGGATAACAATGCTAGATCGATTATTATATAGTTGAAAGTTCAATAATAAATGGGTAGCAGAGGTAAGTCTTTTGGACTTCTTGAAACCAAATTGAAGAAGATTAACTAATTCGAAATAATCTAATCATATATAGATTAAGGAAGTCATCTATTTTCAACTAGTTTTGAAAGAAACAATAATCATTACTAAATAGATATGATCGGCGATAGTTTTGGAAATAGCTTTCAATAAACATGAACAATGAACAAATGACCAAGAATGATTATGCTACTACTGAACTATCCAAGTACATATTTAGGTATCGAATGATCATTTATTATTTCAAAACCAATAATAATCCATGCAGACTTAAAGTCTAGTCGATGAAAAGGGACTTGAACAAACAACTCAAAGGATGAAAGCTGATTGAGTAAATCAATGAACTACAAAACACTAACGTAAACTGATGCCTTTCATTAGATGATGCATATAAAAATAACTCTCCAAAGTGATTGATCAAAAGAAAAGTGGGGAAAAAACCTTAGCTTCTATAAAAACACATTCAGCCAAAGTAGACCACAATGTAGAAATGTTCATTGGATAATTAGTTAGCAACTATGCATCGTCAATTAGTCTTCACGTTAGATGATGAAATTGTTAAAGTCTGAACTGTAAGTCCTTCCAAACGAAATGTCCATTCATCCATCCAAGTCAACACAGGACCAGTCATTACTGCGTAACGGTCCAAGTTGCTACACCTCATATCAGTACATGAAGTAAAAACGCAGTGAGGTGCAAAATGAAGATAAGAAAACTCAGTCAAAAGAAGTATGAAGTATGGAAAGAGAGAAAGGAAGAATGAGAAAATGGTGAGATTCGGTATAGTGACGTTAAAATGAGGATAATGTGTGTGGGGATACATCCACCCCACTGACATCGGTTCTCAGCCATGTGATCACCTAGAGTCAGTCTCCAACTACTGGTTTCTCTTGTCCTGCCGAACCCAACCGGCTAGTCTGCATTGCTCCCCATGACTCAAACTAACAGTCAGAGACTTCATACATTGGTGCCATGTTTTAGTCTGGCCACCTCGAGCCTTTTTCCAGTCTGAACCTACTTCAGCCAACATTGTGTGACAAGGCAATCGGTGACTGGGCATACGTAGTACGTGTCTCAACCATCTTAGTCGATGAAGGTTCATAACCTCATCAACTGACTTACCTCTACTCCCTAAAACTCTACGCCTGACGTCTGCGTTACTCATGTGATGACACTACGGAATACGGCTTATGTTACGAAGGCAATGGTGATCAAATACCTGAAGCTTTCTCATGTCTTCCACCTTCGATGGCAGATATACTGTAAAACAGAGTGGACTGCTGTGCAGGTGCAGTACACGCAACCTTTAATAGATAATCGGATATCATGGCGGCGCCACAGGTGGCGTAAGTTGGCAAAAACTACATGTCTGCAGAGGCTGAGCAGAGAAATTTGCCACTTCAATACAATATTCATGTAAAATTGAGAATGTTAATGTCAGAAACTAGACTACTTCACTAAGTATTTGTTAGGGATGCATATATTCTCCTTGCACTGCATATTTACCATCTTTACATTTTGAACTGGTTTTCTTCGCGCACTTTTTCTCGCCCATGCGTCACACTTCATATAACCCCACTAGCATTTTGATTGGCTACCACCTCTTTAAATATACTAAATTATTCCTTGTTTTTCAAGGTTACTGTAAACTTTATAAATAAGGTCAGTTCTTATCAATAAATGTTTTCATTTCGAGATACCATAAACTCAATTGATTACCAGTCTGCTGTTTTCCCTCTGTGAATCACTCGGGTTGAATTATCTTAAACTTCGACTCTCAATCAATAATTATTACAGTCGTTCGTTATCACAATTCCGCATCTGAACCGTATTTTATGCTACATCCATCTGTAGCAATCAACACTTGCATAAACTGAAAAAATCCCTACGAAAGTACATACTGGCCAAACAATTTAATTGAATCTTGAGGGGTTTGTGGGGATTTAGAGATATTTCAAGTTGTTATTCATCATAGACTGATATAAGTTGGAGGAACAATGGAAACCTGTAAGTCCCATACTAGGATGAAACAGCTGTCCAGTGCTTCCACGTTTTCATTGTTCCTCCAATTGATGTCAGTCTACGATGAATACCAACCTGAAATATCTCTAAACCCACATAAACCCTCAAAATTCAATTTAACTGGTGCTCATTGATGACTAGCTTCGAGAGATGATTCCCGAAGTTTTAATGAGAAGTCGTGACCAGTGGGGTAAACCTGATGACCATGAGGACAAATACCCAACGATGACATTGGGTGGCGGTCGCGCTACGTCGTGAACTGACGGAAGTTGGAAATATGGACCATTAGATTCCTACCCATTGACTCAATGGTAACGTGCTGGCCACAGAACCGAAGGTCACGGGTTCGGTCCCTGGTGGGGTCATGGGTGCGCACTGTTGAAGAGTCTCATACTAGGACGAAACAGTTGTCCACTGCTCTCAGGTTTCCATTGTTCCTCTAATTGATGTCAGTCTACGATGAATACCGACCTCAAAACAATTTAGCCATCTTCCATTAATCTTATAGTTATAAGGTCAACATTTAACCCATACAATAATGAAATTATTACAACATACTCTTTTTGCATACTATACATGAAGTTTTAACGGAGTTTGGAAAAGGTAACCGATGATTTGAGTGTAAAGATAAACATGGGGAATGAACTACATGTTACATTTATTCAAGGTTACCTAGTTGTATTATGTATCAGTGATTGGTACTTTTATTCACTTTCTTCATTAATACTTTACTTGTATTAATTACAAGCATATTTGATAGATTGCTACTAGTTAATGTAACAAACTGATATTCAACCATAAAATACTTACCATTCTGTTCCCTTATCCTGACTGGTAACTACTGTTACAATATTTGAAATCTGGCTGGTGATCTCATCGCTAAAGTTTCTGTTTACAAGAGGTGTTGATGACATGATAGTGATCTGTGAGAGGCATGAGTACATGGCCTGTCTACTAAAAAGACTTAACAGCGTACAAACTCACATCAGCCTGACTTTGAGAAAGAGAATAATAATCATCCGACATATTCCTAAGTCGATGAGAAGATGGTTCAATAAGACGATCAGTTTGCAGAAAGCTTACATGGACAGAACAACACCTGAATTTTCACATTTTTTGTCCAATCTAATATAAAATGCCTGTTTAATAGGATCTATTGTATCAGTACATCAGATAAGATGGATGAGGATATCAAATTACTGACTACAACACTTGTAGAAAACAGATATCCGTTGAAGTTTATAAACCGTTGTAGAGGTCAAATAGCAACAAAGCCAACTCTGTACACGATTCCTAAGAAAAGCGTCCATATAGCTCCACCACACAGACAGGAGTTGAATAGTATCATATCGAGGCATGGGCTGACATCAACCATTAAGAAAACATATTACGCAGCTAATCTTATCATTGTGGAAAAAATAAAACACTGCATTGACGATTACGTCACACCCTATTGTGTTTATCAATTTACATACATGTGGTCATATATACATGAGGAGGAGTAACCAAGCCATGAAGTTGAGGGTGGAAGAATATGTACGTAAATGGCTTCAAAAACAAATGGAGTGGGAAACAGTAATATTTGCAGGTCGGAGAAGACCCTCTTTATCTATACCCAAATATATTATAGAAACGGGTCAAAAAATTGATGTTCAAACAGCTTTCAAAGTTTTATATAGAAACAGTCAGGGATGTATACTGAGATTTTCGGAAGCCATAGCTATAAACAAATTGAAACCACCTTTATGTATACAGAAACAATTTGTTCTTAAAGTACACCAACTTTGGTAAACTTTGTTTTCTTAACAAGATTAGGATCAACTATGTCACTTCCTGTTCTCATCTTTCTTAATTTTAATCCCTTATGTTAATTGTTGTATTTGTCCTCCCACTCTTTGGTTTAATATATATTAACTTGAAAAGTAAATGTGATCGGATCGTTCGAAATGTATTGCGCAAACATATCACTTTGTTCATATAAACTTCATTTTCTAATTATGCCACAATACTACCAAATTTTGCTATTCATCTTTCTTAATTTTAGCGATCTTGCCATTCACTAATTGTCTTTAATTTATTCTATTCCATCGCTTGTCATCCTCAAGACTTTCCATACTGTTGTTTACCAAAATTGGTGTATATCTGGTCCTTACCGGGTAGGAGATAGTCCCACCCTTGCGTAAGCGTCTGTGTGCCTAGAAAAAGAACCCCAAAAGATTACTAGCTGGTTAGGTCCCCTTCCAGTGGTAAGGGGGACATCACAGCTTAGGAGAGAGGTGACACAAAGACATAAAAGCGTGTCCATGGCCTCGCAAGATCCACCTACAAATATATCATTTAATTTGCTTCACTGTCCGCAGACTTTGACGACCGTTGCATGCAACCTTGAAAGACCCGCTAAGGTTATCAAATCTTCGACAGCCAGATATTATTACACCTTTGGATTTCTCCTCTCACCCTGAATATCAACCACCATAAAACATTTGTTGAAGAAACTCCTGGTACCCTCTTTACGCATAGACACCCTGAGAAGTCGTCCATGATCAGCGTGATTGTTAAGTTCATGTTTATTTCCGTAAGACGGTTGTGCCTCATTAAAGCACATCCAGTAATTTTACACACGTTCATAAACGTATCACATTCCCCATAAATATACGCGATACCTTCGAGCAGACTTAAGTTAGATACCCAGTACTTACAACACACTGGCAACATGTTTCAAACCTTTCTGGATAGTGTGATATCATAAGCCTGCACCATATTTTTTATACGACTTCAGCTTCACATTGGGAAAAGGCAGGGGTAATAACAAACTTTGCTCTATTTAAGCGCACATGTACCCATCGTAATCAAAACATACAGTATCTTTTATTATGTGGTTGGATGCAATCAACAGGAAAGTTTCGTTCTTGTTGGCAAGGTGTTTAGCAAGGTGTGACTACAATTTCAAGAAAGAACGTTGTAAAATATCTATAGTCCAACAGAACACCTGGTTACATATGTATAAGATGTTTATATCAAACGTTTAATGCAACATTTTCAACACAATTAACTCGATCAAAGTTGGAATAACACAATATAAGCCTAGAACTTGGACACCATGGTATAATGTGATTTCAGATTGAATCAGTTGATTTGATATAACATAGTGAAAATACATAAATAGCAGTAAAAATTATTGTTTCATTATGTGTTATATCAAAATAACTTATTTAATATGAACTCGAATCGACTCTTTAATCGTTGCATATAATCTGGTGATATTTTCGGCCTCAGTCCAAGAACTTCAGATAAAGCTGGATATGATATCCAAATACCTGGCCAGATCCCCACTTATTATTATGAACACCAACAAACTCAACTCCCTAGCTATACAGTGAATAACCACGCAACATATGCACTTCAAGTTAACGATGAATTTCAGTACCTTGGCTTCAAATTTAATGATAGAGAGAGAGGGACTGCAGATCAAAAGACCTTAGAAAAAGACTAATAATCTGTTGAGCGGAATAGAAGCGGCTTTTTTTTGTATCTGATATAACTGAAAGTAACATTGAAGTGTCAGACTTTTTCATTTTCAATGACTAAATCACAGTATTTATTTATTTGAAATATCTAAACAAAACGGATTCTTGACACATAGAAAATTCAAACTTCACTAACCGTCTACTAACAATATCGAAATATAAAATTGACAAAACAGGAAATTTTCCCGATTACCATGTGAATTTGTGACTCGATACTATCGCTTGATCATATTCATACTGGCTGCATAGTCAGGACTTCTCATCCCATTTCAAAAGTAACTGAATTGGAGAGGAGGAACATCATATTGATTATCATTTGACTGTGTGAGATAGCCGTGATTTGATAGACTAGTATTTATACTAGGTGGTAATTGAAAGTGAAATAAAAATTTGGTGAGCAGTCGAACCTCGTAGATCAGCTGGTGAAGCATCGGGGTGGTAACCCGGTGGTCGCTGATTCGAATCCTGTTGAGGTCCAGATTTTCATTTCACCTTCAATTATCACCCAGTATAAATACTATTCGGCCAAACTAAGGTTATCTCAGACAGTCAAATAAAAAACAGTAAATAACAATTGTATAACAGGAAAAAAGTAACCGGCAAGGTTCGATCTCCAAAAATAAAACTCATCAAATGAAATCAAGTTCACATAAACAAACAACGGTTTAACTTACATCTGGTTCATTGTATCCTCTATACTCTTCAACAGGTGGATCAAGAAATCGACATAATGACATCTCAAATTCTGATTCCACCATTTTGTGAACAAAATTAGAAATACCACTCAGTTGTGCACTGAAATCACGTAAACATATAAATGTATTTGAGTTTTTATTCAACTCAATTGTTCCAGCTTCTAGATTTGAATGTTTGCCAATAGTTTGATTCATATCACTAGACAAGTTTCCCATTAAATGAGATTGTAGTAAGTCTTTTGTAGTGCTAACTAAATCCAATGCAGCACAAAAATCATTATTTCTTAATAAACTTTGAATAGTAGGCTGTGTTGCTCTTAGACTGGCTATCAATTTTAACTAAACAAAAGTAAATTATATGAATAGTAAGAGTTGTACAACAATAGTGAAAAAAATTATTTATGCTGAGTAGTGAAAAAATTTGGACCGCAGTAGGATTCGAACCAGCGACCATTGGGGAAAAAATACTGAAGGAATTTGATTTATTCAAAACTTTTGGTTGGAATGTCTTTCAAAGTTGTATTTTATGTAGAATCTAGTAATCCACAGAACATTTACTAAAAATATTTTCATTCTGAAACAAAGACACCCAGTGAATGGTAATAAATATCGCCGACCATAGTCTGTTGATGTGGGTAAACAATGGGATCATCAGGCTAAGTAGTATAATACTGCATGCCATTGCGTTGGGTGACCAGTGGGATAATTAATGTACCTATCTACTCCTTATCGCTTAACACTGATTGATATCTAACATCAAAATACAGTGTACCGCAGTGACACGTCACTTAGTTCAATGGTCAGATTGCAAAAACCTCGTCGACGCATTTAAGTTAGTGTTGAGCAAGAAGGATCAGACAGCTACATCGGTTACAGAATAACTTGTACCAGGTGTATGCATTTTAGTCTGTACTTTTATATTTCCTTATCGGTAGTAGGTTAAGATGATGAATAAAAACCAATGAACCTATGTTCTGTACTAAGCGAGATTTATTAATAAGACATTTCTGGTTCAAAAGTATAAGCAATCAAAGTTGGTAGCGCCCACAGTATTATTATTTGTCCCTTAGGTTCCTAGCGGAATACACGGCTTCACTAGTCCATCGCCATTTCACTCTCTTCTCTACAGTCTTTTCAACATCGTTCCACCAATGCCCACAACCTTTCATTTCTTCCTCATACCATCTCCTCCATATCACCATCATCTCAGAAGTCCAACTCTTCGTTTCCCATTTCGGTTCCACTCAACGGCCTGGCCTGACGTGACGCAGGATATCCCAAAACTGTCTTTCCAATGTATGTCCAATCCAATCAAATCGATCTCCACTTTCTTCTGCATATTTGTTGGGTGATAGGTTGTTGGTTGGGTGGTTTGTTGTGGGACCAGTTGTCAGACTTCTTCCTTGCTTATTCTTATTATTCTCGCCATCCATCTGATCTCCATCTTCAGTATCGAGTGAGCGTGGACGGTAGCTGTGTTGATGATGTATGTCTACAGTTTGTTTGAAATGCTATTGGAAACGAGCCAGGTCTGTGAACCATGATACAGAAGCACTAACCTACTTGACTGAATTAGTGTTGAGAATCGGGATGTTGTTCACGCTTTATGCTGAGTGGAGTGCAGTGTAGTATATCTCCACACTGATTATTTCAGAATGAAACCCTGTCTTACTGTGCTTTCGATCCTGGATTTGGCATCCTCATCTGTGTCTGTGTCACCGCCTGTACTTGAGATGATGCTGCCTTGCCTATGTGATAGGTGAAAGAGACAACTTCCTTTATATTTCTCCCGTTGGTGGTGATTAGTACTTGTTATTGGTCGTGGTGTTGGTTGGATATCTTCATCACCTATGTCTTCTCTACGTTCACTTGAAGTCGCGTCTTCCTCCGCTGCCTCGCTACGCCTCTTCTGCCAACATGTTAGTTTTCGCCTGTAGATCTTCGAGTTTGTGCGACAAGACATTCAACATAAATCATCATAGGCGAAATCTAAATCTTCTCCTGGAGTCTTTTCATCGGTCAAGCCAGCAAATGCCTCTCTTCTCACAGCTCCTCACAGTTTGTTGCATGTTCCAGTCCAGTCCGGTCGACCATAATCAGGAAGATGATCGGTGATAGTGGGCGGCAACCTTGTCCTATTTCTGTCTACACTTCAAAAGCATCACTTCTTTCTTTCTTAACATCAATATGAGAATTTCAGACATTATCGAAGCCTCTATACTGATTCAATCACTAAATTAATCTGATAGGTAGTTCACATCCTCCACTTTAACATGATATTGCATTCACAGACAGTCTATAATTAATTTGGAATGAAGTAAATTTTCTGATAATCGACTGATTGTTGAACAAAGACAAAACTTCTACTTTTGCATTGATTTCAATTTTTACAAAACAACAACAACAATTGAATCAATCAAAATTAAACCTTAAAAAACATGTGCACAATAAAAGTGTAATGAGAGTCAATAAACTGACTGATAAAAACCCCAAATTAGTATTGCTATGTACTGATTTTAATAAGGATCATAGTTATTACTCCTCTACAACTAAAAAAAAATATGCCACCCTAACTAACTGACTGATGGAATAAACAGATGGAGGGAAAAAAATAGGTGAAAATTGAAACAAATGTATACTGGTTCACACTTTGAAATCATGGGGGGAAGAAATAGGGGTCGATTACAAAAGTTTAACAGTTGATGAATAGTTCATTTGAGCCATTTTCATAAATATTGCTAACATTTCCCAATATTCTATTTTGAAGACTTCACACAATAGAAAGCTTTTGCCTAATTGAAATGGCTGGTCAAAAAGACAGATAGACAGATAAAATCAGCGTGAAACCTTGCACACGGGTGCATCACTTCAAGTTACCATACTTTACAGTAGTATACACAACAAAGAACAACAGTGGGTAGGAAAGACTCCTATCAAAGTAGACAAAGTTGTATTAGAGAATAAACAATCTGAAGATAAAAGTCAGTGCAAATATTCAAGCTTTAGATGTCAAGGAAAGAATTCATCTGCATTACTGTGACCGATTTTCAGCCATATCACCATAATTTCCCCAACCACTGATTTCTAATCATCTGGAGGACCTCCATCGGGCAGTCTACATCTACCCAAACGGCTTAGAACAACAGTTTGGGGCTTCATCGACTGGTGGCAGGTCTTAGGTCTGGCCACCTTTAACCCACTCTTCCATCTTAATCAAATTTCCCCTAGCATGGCATATCGAGGTTGGTGGCAGCTTGCCATGTACAGTACACATCCAAATCATATCAGACGACTAAAGTTAACAACGCGATCAGTGGACTTGTCTGTGTTGGCTAGGATCCTTCGTCTGACTTCAACATTCCTCACACAGTGATTCCATTAAATGCGAGCAAGGCTACGAAGACACCTGTGAACAAAACGCTGTGATCGCTTTATGTCTTCGACTTCAAACGGCTATGTCTCAGTCGTATAACAGAACAGAATGGACTGCAGTGCAGCATACTCGTCCGTTGATAGATAGTCGAATACCTCGCCAGTCGGCGCCACAAGTGACGCAAGCCTTCTAAATCCAAGGTGAGAATTCGTCAGATATCAGCAAGTTCGGGTTGATGTCATTCCACAAGTGAAGTGGTCGATGCATTCCACCACTTCACCCCCTATCAATAAACTGAGAGTACTTGGAGGAGACCATTCATGTCTGGAGCATCATCTTACATATGACAGATGCCAGTGAAGTGCATGCCAAACATACACAGATTTCACAAGACCCTGCATTTTGTCAGCATCTTCACCCAGCAGGACAATGTTGTCTGCATACTCCAAGTCAACCAGATGATTTCCAGAGAGTAGATCAATCGATGTGAAGTCAGACGTGCCTACAACGAAGTTAAATAAGAACGGCGACAGAGGACATCTATGGGGGAGACGACTAGTAATCGTCGATTCTGATGACAGCTCTCCATCAGACCTTACATAGTGCTTTCCCACCTCTGTAGTTCTGCTCTCAAACTCTAAACTCACCCAGGCAGATAAATCAATAAATTAAATTCATTATGAACTATAAAGAAAGGTATTCTATACATTGGTCTTCGAAGCAATGATGCTTACACGAAGACAATCATTCAAAGGATTCAAACAAACACAAGGGGAACACGAATAAAAGAATAATAACAAATCACACTTCTCCCCCAAAAATAAACAAACAATCCCTTAACTTTGAGAACAGCTGGCAAAAAACTTATTCATCGACTGAAAATAATTAAGCCATCGAAAAAGAGCCAATGGTACTAACTGGTTGTCTAAACCTGTAATAAGAAGTGGGCTTGCAACCTGTGGCGCTATAGTTGAACCACTGAACAAGTCTATAGGTTGAACAACAACAATAACAAAGTACTGACTAGACATCTATCAGATATCAGAAATCCAAAAAGGGAAACAAATAAAGACAATTTACACCCTAAATTCATGTAAATGAAAGTTCAGTACTCTAACTTTTTAACTGTTTACCCCCCTCTCGACGGTATCACCAATCAATTTTTTTCAAACCATCATCTTTCAGTGACCTTACTTCATCAGTGGATAAGAGGATTGAAAGTACAATTAACCTGAAGATCTAATTATTCAGTAGCACTTTGAGGTCAATTTACATTACAAGTGAAGCATTAACGAAAGATACTACAAAGCGCTGAGGCTGATTTGTAGATTTTGCCAGGCAGCCAGATCAACATTAGATGGCAAATTACCTCATGCGGGGTGGAACTCATCAGCGGTGTACCTGGACGAATTCAGCTCAGAGAACTGAATTAGTTCAGATCATCCGAATCTGGCTAGCTGACTTCCATGACCCAATACACCTTAAACAGGATGGTCAATCTGAAAATGATTTACAAATCGTACACTCGACGTTGACATTACTTACAGCTGAGTGGGTTTTTTTAACTGCCTAACTTTGGCATGATTTCCAGTGGAAACCACCCAGCCAAAATTACGTGTGATTTCCGATAATTTGTAAATCATTTGAAAATTGTTCAACCTATTTTGGGTATGCCAGGCCATCCAATTCAGTTAGCTAGACTCAGGTGATCTGAATTAATTCAGTTGTATGAGCTGAATTTGTCCGGGTACAGCACTTACCACCTCGGCTTCAAACAAGCGAAACGGCTGTGCAGTTTTTAGATCCTTCAGATGTGGCTGGCTGGCAAAAATCAACACATCAGCCTGAGTGATTTCAAAGTGCTCAAGTTGTTCGCTAGCAGTGTAGTGCAGAACTCACGTTTCGTCCTATTTAAGACTCGTCAGCTGGACGTACACGTTCGCCAGTGAATGATATTGTCCTCACTAAGATTCAAACTCCATGCCCATTGCTTCAAACACCAAGGAATTATTTACTAGGTCACTGAAGCAACAAATATCCAGGCAACACCGAGGCATTCGCATAGGAGCCCATCTGCCAACAGAGGTCGAGTAATTCCATCCAGTATCACAACGGGGAATTGCAGGTATATCAACACATAATAATATTTCATGAAGTGCTAAATTACTTCTACAAAACTAGGGAAGCAGTTTAAAAAAGGCACCTACCTTATCAACCAATAATTGATAGTTTTCACGTCTTCGCACAACACGCAATAATCTCATCTTATCACTCGTATACAATGTATCAATGTGATGTAATTTATGCCTAGAATACAAAATAAAAACACAAATGTTTTATGAGTCAATTAGTTAACATCATCTAAACATGATGAAAGAGGGAAACAATCCTCCAAAAAGTCAAAAAGGAAGTCATCATATAATCGTTAAAAAAACAACACTAATTAGACCAATATTACTCACATAAAACTTTACTAAGTTTTACAATGAATCGATTCGCTTCTTAACCAATTTTGTACACTACTAATATTTTCATAACTTAGCTAGAAATTAAATCAGACAAGTAAATAATTACCATTACGCTGAAACCTAAGAAACGATGATATTTGATTGTATTGCAGCTCCAGGTTGATACATGTAGTGATAGAAGAGGTCAGATAAGGTATCTATATCATTTAGTATTCACTGCTTGCACAATGAATCAATCATTAATATCACTGATATGAAGCCAAAGAAATTTCTTTAAAACATGCCTAACTAGTAGGATCTTGAAATGATGGGGAATATTTGTAGCTCATTCTACTGTACATAAAGAATATATCAGAAATCACTAAAAGATTACTGAGACTACTTGTAATTGGTGTGACCCATAAGTCGACAAAAACCCTCCAAACCCTAATATGCAGACCAAAGGATGCAACAACCAAAGAAGACAAACCGAACATCATTTACAAAACCAACTGCAATAACTGCAGTCAATACTACATTGGACAAAGTAGTCGCCCTCTTCGCCTTCGTCTACATGAACACCGATTCGCTAGTAAACGTCACACATGACGTTTCATCACTCATTTCAATGCATGTGGATAACAACTATGGAGATGAATTCAACTTTGACAATGTAGAAATCTTGAACGGAGATAGGAAACAAAGAATATCAGAGAATTCCTAGAAGCGTGGCATTCGGGTCAGTCAGTCAGCAATCAATAGATGTATAGACAGACCCAATCTATCAACCAATGAGGAAAATGGTAAGAGACAGTAAGGTCAGAGGTTAAGCAGAATAACAGCCAACAGGAAAATCTGTCCAGTCCATGACACAACAATCAAAGGAAGCGACCAATCACAATCCAGTTCGTCAGGGCAAGCTACTAAATCACTAATGGAGAGGTACTGACAGCTCACTTCACACTAAAGTTAGTGCTGATGATGTCGTCTAGAAAGACGATGAAAGCTCCACGACTAAACAACCCAGCTCAGAGAACACAATACAATCAAGACATGTCTATCTCACAAATTTACCTATACATGAATCAAAATTCACTCAACAACATAGTTGTTGAAGTGTAACAACACCTGTGTGCGACGTTCAAAGTTGATTTTACCAGTCAACAACCTTCTACACGTTCATATGGTAGAAAATGAACCACACCTATTGATTATGTTATGATTAGATGATACTACCTGGCTGTCAGACTTTGGTAGATGAAACAAGGTTCAAACCCGTGATCCATTTGATGAAAATGTTACATCTTCGAACGCCAACGGTTATATACGTTCTAAACGAATATAATACACACGGTTAGCTGACAGCCAACTTAGTACGCAACAGCCACCGACTGCAACCCCGAGACGAATAGAGAGAAGGCCGAAGCTGGATGATGGGAGAGTTATTTCTCCAAGACTATGATAACAATAAATCCCAAAACACGTGAATAAATACACACATGAAAAATGATCTTGTCCGCAATTTGAGACATTGACATAGTAAGAGTAGAGATTCACCAATCAGGGAATCACATTACAATGGGTGCAGAAAATAGGCTAATAGTCGTACCGTAAAAATAGTGTGAGAATGCCAAGTTAAAAATGTCCAGATCAACAACAATGTTTTATGCAAAACTAGCGTCTCACAACACAAAGTGAAGTGCTCAGATCAATGAGACAGAATTCCAGACCGCGCACTAAGTGATTGATAAATAAATTGATCTGTATCTGTAGCATTTATGAAGTTTATAGCTGACAACGTACAATCTGATAAAAAAAATTGCGAGCACGATATAAAACTTGGAAAAAAATATGAACCCCACCTTACACATCTAGCCAATCACTAATATAATATTCGACATATTTATGCGAAGAAAACCTAAGTAAGAGCACAACAGAAGTGATGAAAAGAATAAATGTCAGGAAATAATTTTGATTATACGAACCCGGGAGAAGTGTCTGCAACAGCCTAGCACATATACACACCACCCAGTCGTCGTTAAACAACATCTTCATTATATAAATGTGAAAATTAATCAAGATCGAATGAAGAACTATTTTACAACATGAAAATGAGTAAAACAATTGTGTCATTCAAAAATCCTTCTTGATTTTAAAAATACGATAGCAGATCTTATGACTAGAAATTAAATCACCAAGTAACAAAATATACATTAAAAATTCTCTATTTTCAGGATATCTTGCAAACACAGTAACCAAATCTATAAACTAAAAGATAAAAAGCAACAATCTCAACAAAGAACATCCTTTTCAGCAAATTGTCTTTAGGTTTTACAATTATAAAATCCATTTGTACAGTGTAAAAACAAGTCATGTCAGGGGGCAATTACATTTTCAAAATAGAGTGAGATCCATGGATTGGGATGATACATATACAGATGAATGATATGACGAACAAAAAGATAACGAATAAGATGGCAGGAGTGGCATTTAGTTTGTTGAAGACCAAGGGAGAAGTAACACTTGGACATATTCTTTCTGAATTCAGAGTTCGGACTTGGTTAGTCTCATTGCGACAGCCTTGGGCAGGCGTTGGTGAGTGAGCTACATGTGGTATCGTGTTTGAAACACGATGAATGACATTGAAAGCTTTATTAAGTATCTATGTGATGCCGTATGTCGACTAAATGCTCTAGAAATGAACTTCTTACCACTTTCACTCCACCGTTTTCAAACCAATCTGGTAAATGCTATTGTATTCGGAGACGTACCTACCTAATCGTAGGCCCTATGTAACTAGTTCACATCTTTGAACAACGTGAAGTGTGTTATTCTCGTATGATTTTGAAACGGTGAAGAATATTTGTACCTTAGGTGGATGATCTTGATTGTATTCTCGGAGCTGGGTCGTTTAATTGTGAAGCTTTCATTAAAGTTAGTTCTGATGATGTTGTCTAGAGATACAATGAAAGCTACACAATTAAACTACTCAGGTCAGTAAACCATGAAATCCTTCTTGGTTACCATAAGTTAAAATCTAACAAAAACTTGTAATAACTAACGACCTTTAGGATGTGAAACCCTTCATGAACACAAACCCCTGAGATAGTCTATTATGAATGAAATGCATCATGTTTTCAACAAGTCTTTACGAGATCTTGTCATATTTATAGTCGAAACATTTGGTGAATAGTATACAGGATAGAGACTAACTTAGTTAAACCTATTAAATTAAAGATTCCTGTATCCATCAACTAGTCAAACAAATCCATATCAACATGGGACCGCGTAACGATTCAAGTTGCCACACTTCACATAAGTGCATGAAGACACATGGCAGCAAGATAAGATATAGAGAAATAAAGGAAAAAAGCGTAGTCGACAGCCGTAAAAACTGATAAGTAAAAAGGAAAAGAGCATAGAACACCAACAAAATGTGATACGATGACTAAGATGAAGATAATATGTTTGATGATTCCTATTGATTCTGAATCGTTTCATCTGAAGTTTCCAATCGCCGACTTCGGTTATCATGAGGAACTCAATCGAGAAGTCTACATTACCCTACACAGTTCAGATCAACAGTCAAAAAATTCATGGACCGGCTGCTTTTGATCTTTTTTTAACATTAAGCAACGAGGTGCATGCAAACTATCCATAAGTAATACACGTCCCAGCCATGTGACTAGTCAGTTAAGGTCAACAACTTCATCAACTGACTTACCGGTTTCACCTAAAAATCAAACGTTAGTCCATGAAATATGTACGAAGATACCTAAGATGTCTGTGTAAAGCAGATTTATATCCATTTATATAATTCGAAAATGATTTCTTTTCAAAAAAAAATGACACCTCCTGAAAATATCAATCTAGTTATTGCGAAAAAAAGACAGACAGACAAGTCAAGATGAAATCCCTACATAGAAATTTATCAGTTTAAGTCTCTTTAATTAACAACACCATACATGTGACTTCAGGTGAACGTAGAGAAGACATAGGTGATGAAGATATCCAACCAACACCACGACCAATAACAAGTACTAATCACCACCAACGGGAGAAATATAAAGGAAGTTGTCTCTTTCACCTATCACATAGGCAAGGCAGCATCATCTCAAGTACAGGCGGTGACACAGACACAGATGAGGATGCCAAATCCAGGATCGAAAGCACAGTAAGACAGGGTTTCATTCTGAAATAATCAGTGTGGAGATATACTACACTGCACTCCACTCAGCATAAAGCGTGAACAACATCCCGATTCTCAACACTAATTCAGTCAAGTAGGTTAGTGCTTCTGTATCATGGTTCACAGACCTGGCTCGTTTCCAATAGCATTTCAAACAAACTGTAGACATACATCATCAACACAGCTACCGTCCACGCTCACTCGATACTGAAGATGGAGATCAGATGGATGGCGAGAATAATAAGAATAAGCAAGGAAGAAGTCTGACAACTGGTCCCACAACAAACCACCCAACCAACAACCTATCACCCAACAAATATGCAGAAGAAAGTGGAGATCGATTTGATTGGATTGGACATACATTGGAAAGACAGTTTTGGGATATCCTGCGTCACGTCAGGCCAGGCCGTTGAGTGGAACCGAAATGGGAAACGAAGAGTTGGGCTTCTGAGATGATGGTGATATGGAGGAGATGGTATGAGGAAGAAATGAAAGGTTGTGGGCATTGGTGGAACGATGTTGAAAAGACTGTAGAGAAGAGAGTGAAATGGCGATGGACTAGTGAAGCCGTGTATTCCGCTAGGAACCCAAGGGACAAATAATAATTATAAATAAAAAGTAAAAATACACAGTACAGTAAAAAAGCAGAATTCATTTGTAAACCCTAACAA